CCATCTTTTTTCATAGCCAGAATAGCTCGTATGGTATAAAAGCTGACTATTAACATAGCTGATAGGTTTTTTTATACTCATGGTTCGAATCCACCCGGTGCCACACTTTTATAGTTTTACTATTTTATATCTTTGTATAGGCATGATAGGGACTTGTGTATTTTCCTTCAATTACCTATCTTTTATGCATGTTCATTTTTGATATAAAAGACACTAAAGAGAAAGCAAATCCTAAATTTCATTGTAAATAAAACACAGTCAAGCGGAACTATACCTTAGTATATCACGCCTGCTTCAAGGACAATAATTATTCACTCTGTGTTACTCCATACGGGTATTCTCGTATGCAGTGAGCTGTTATGGATTTCTATTGTATAAAAATTCCTTAGAATTAATCAATTTACTGTGTAACAATTCTTTTATTCCGTCTGCACTTGTACTTTTCTGGGTTGTTGAACTAGAAAGTATACATATTGTTTGTATTATTTCAGCTTAATATAATATTACAATTACAAACATGTACTTTTTAATCAATGTTCTAAATTCAGATTTCAAGTTTTGAGACAAAATCATGCTTTATAGTCTATGAAAAGAGATCTCCCATCTCTACATACTAAATAAAATGAGTTATGAAAAAAAAAATTGACACGTGTATGTAGCCTAAAGTTCTTGAGCAGAACGGTAATCAATTTTTGTAAAGACTAAAACCAGTTTGAGTCCTACAGGTCTAAGCTCCATTTTTAACGAATTTATATAATTATATAAATATATTATGTATAAATATTATAGTATATACTTGCAGAGGCCTTCGATACTTTGATGTTCTGAAAAATACATGTATATAGTAATTAACATTAGTGCCACTCATTCATGCAATTTTGCTTTTTTGTTATTTTGTTGTGTTCATATCTATTCATGTACGTGTACAAGAGTTGGTTCTTTGTTTTAATCAAAAAATTTAAACTTGAAAACCTTTATTTCTCCGTAATATTTTACTACACGTAATTTAACATTCTTTCATATTGAGCTTAATGTTTTAAACATAAAGTCCTAATGTTAAGAACTGTTTCTTCTGACCTTTAATCATTGACAGATCATAAGTATTTATGTAAGGAAATATTTTTAAGTTTCGTGTGAATTACTGGTGTGTAAATCAGACTTGTCGCGTAAGCATTCTTTTTATGAACCGCGTTTTACAGTGAATATTATTGTTTATGTATATTCAAAATACACGCGAATTGATTTAAAGGGTCATTCAATGAGTTTTCGAACTGAGGAGGATATGAATTTATGGTACAATAAACTGTTGATATGTAAATAGTTTACAATACAGAAAAGAAAACGTATAGTGGAAAAGTCAAAGTTTACTTGTCAAAAGGTGAACGGTAAGTGGAAGATGAAGTCTTATCATATATACATGTAACCTCGATTTTATTTTGAAGGTAACGCATATTTGCAATCTTGCCAAGGCTTCTAAAATGGTGTCTTCTGTATTGAATCAATATGTATATGTATTGAAAATACTGCAAAAAGAGCAGATTGTTTTATACAGGGCATGTTGTATCAAATAGAGTAACTATTCGAAATTCCACGCTTTATTAGTAAAATTTTTAATACAAATATTCCAACAAATATAGATTCAAGAGCAGCTCTGGAGGAGTGAGTTTCCCCTGCCGATCGGTCACATCGCCGTGTGCTCCTTGTCATGAATGGCCTAACAATTAGTATGAAAAACGTCAGTCAGCATATGACTCAACTGAGAGATACATGTATACATCCCAAATAGGTGATTGGGGTATATTGCTGCATGAGTAAGGGAAGTTGACGATTGAAAAGTTAAAGTCATCACGTTTATCATAAAGTTTTGATTTTAGGTTACCATTAATGTCTTTTTTTATAGTAAAATACCGTATAGCGGGTTTCTTTAGCGGGTCTAAAATTTGGCGTTTTACTTGCTCAAGGGTATGCCAATAATTTTGGTGGAACTTTTTTTGGCGGACACGGATTTCCATCACTCTGCAATAAAAATGGAAATTTATCTTTTAGATGAGTTTCAGTACGTTAAATATACCTTTGAATACCAATTTACGCAAGAGTTTGAGCAAATACCAATGCCAGTCTAAAGATATACTACCAAGTAACGTTAATTAACAGACTGATCAAAGCTATTTAAGTTATTTTTCTTGTATTTAGTACTTATAAGCAAGAGTGCAAATTTAGCGATTAAAATTTTAGCGGTCTACTACAAAACCGCTAAAATAAGCCAAAGTTAGCACCCCGCTAAAAATTCCCGCTATACGGTATCTAAATAGATGTGTCAGACTCTGTGGTATCTTTTTTTTCAAGCTCACTGGGATATATCGAGTCGACATATGAATGGAAATAACTGTTGTTAATTGTTAATACGTCGTCGATATTTCTAAATGTCGAGGTGAAGGCCAAACCAAGAGATTCCTTTTTCTCATGTATAAGATTTTGAATAAGTTCTGCTTCATATGAATACAAAAAAGGGTCTGCTAACAACGGGGCGCAATTGGTACCCATGGGAATTCCAACATATTGTTGGAAAACCTGGTCTCCAAAAACCACATAGATATTGTCCATCAGAAACTCAAGCATCTTTTGAATATTAACTTCAGAGTACTTGTGTGTACAATCAGAATGTTTTTTTTTAAATAAAATAATTTTGCAAATGACCAATGACAAGGTAAGTATATTTATAAGTTCCATTTTTATTGAAAAAGCAGCTGTCAGTGATATCAAAAAGTCTGGAGAATGGTTATTTAAAGTATTGAAAAGTCGTACGTTTTTTATGATTATTTTAAGTAAAATTTTGTGTTTTCAAATTTGCCAAAAGTTCCTTGGAATTTTAAAGTATCCACATCTGATTTACACCATTTCTTGAATTTATTATTGCACAGAACTCCTGAAGTTTCTCATTCACTGCTATTAATATTTTAGTGAGGAGTAAAGAAGGGGGCTTGGTAGAATATTTACTGGAACCCGCTATGAATCTTTGCTTGCAAGGATTTTTATGAAGTTCCGGAATCCAATATAAATATGGTAGTTCAAATTCATTTTGATTGTTGGGAACATTAAAAATTTTCAAAACTGACATATGATTTTAAAGATTTTCCTCCTTAGAAAGGGAGCTATGGGTATACGTCTGATTGCCACTTGTAGAATTCGAGTTCTTCTAAAATACAATGAAAATAACATGAATAATTATCCTTGCAAACAATGTTGTTACCTGCTTTGTTGGCTGGAACCAGTACATACTGATGGTGTAGTCTATTTAATTCTTTTTTTTCACTTCTGAATTATTGAACACAAAAGGGTAGATGGTTTACATATTGCCACTCAATCGCTTAATGCGAGATTTCAACATACATCTGATACATTTAATCCATTTTGATAAAGTGTCAAGGTCTTCTTTTACATGTCTGGCCCATTGCCTGGCGTAATCTTTGAAATTATGATTCCAGTTGAAAGATCTGGGTTACCTAAATTTTGGCCCTTTTAAAATAAGTAATTTAAGGTCCTCATTATTAACTATATTTATGTCACCATTAATAACGTGTCCAGCTGGACTATAGTTGTAGGGTGAAGAAGAACATGAACACGATGGAGGATTATGATTCAGATGCTCAATATCCAGGCTCTGCAAAGTTTTCTTGTAATTTAAAAGTTTGGAAGCAATAGTCAATGTATAATTATAGGAAATACAGGGTGTAGTCTTCAATTAGAAACATGGTGGAATACAAGAGTTGACCCTTTTGTGATTACAAATATTACTTATATTAACCACGTCAATTCCTTTATTGGCACACTGAAGTTTAAGGAACAAACGGGTAGTTTTAGCTGTATTTTCTTTCGTAAAACGTGGCCATTTAAAAAGCCTATGATTTGCAATATCCATAACCACAGATCCGAGTCTGTATTCTGGTGTCGAATAATCCAAATATGGACTTTCCTTGACTTTTGCAAATAGACTATTCAAAACTCTCGAAGGGCCAGAGTAAAGTTTGGTGCGAATGTGATGAATGCCTAATTGTTTATTCACATAAGATAGTAGTGAATCAAAGAAGACATCGTTTATAATAGGTTTATTGTAAGAGGAATGTTCATGACTACGCTTACGTCTCTTTGTACTGTTAAAAAGTTCCATCACATTCACATTGCTACACTGTTGCTTGAAAGATTCCCAACACTGTCGACATTGGCATTGCTACCATATGGAAAGGCCTGCCTAGTTTTCTAATCCAGTATTCTTTTGTCTAAGGAAAGGTGTACTCGGTGATGGGTTATTAGTATGATGGTAAATCTCTTCTAGAATTCTAACTTTCAGTGACAAAACAGAATGATCAGGTAAATTAAAATGCTTGTATAGAAGCTGCTGGCCCCCGTTGTTAATCGGAAATCTATGCCCTGATATTCTTTTATTAAGTGAACCCTTGGTTTCACCAACATAAATAAGCCCACAAACGGTACATTCTATTCCGTAGACAACATTAGATTTGCAACTCAGATTTTCCCAAGTTTTGAAATAGAAGCTCTATATCCAGTAAAATTACTAGAAAACGAAGAGCTAGTAATCAAAATATCACAGTTTTTATCTACATGCAAAAACCATGAAAGTTTGGTCTGGGTAGGGTTTAGAATTATTGAGAATGTTCCAAAGACCTGAACTGTTTAATATAGATCAGATTATCCAGGTAATTCAGATGCTGCATCTGAAGCATCTGTTTGTAAGTGTTAATCGCTAGATACATCATTCATTCAAGGTGGATCAAAGTAGGTTTTATAGTTACTTTGGAATGAACCTGCTCCAAAAACTTTACATTTATCATTCATTTGAAAATGTAGACCAGATGCAGTCTGGAGATAAACATCCCTAGATTCCTGTATGCAAATTCAGTCATCATTTAGTTTCTGAATACATATCATACACAAAGAAGAGCTTGTTTTAAAGCTTTCTAAAAAAGAGAAGGAAAATGAAATCGATTTTCTTCCTCTCAATCATTTTATTTATACATTCCACAATGCTTTTGTTGCAGAAAAGACAGCAATGTTAGTTCATGCTTCAAATTTTAACGAAAAATATATGAATGTAACTCTGCAATGACCAGAAAAGGACAAACTTCATATAGTAATACACATAATTAAATGTATAATAACGGGATGCTGAATTATTTAATATACTAGTACTAATTTCCTTTCCTAATGTCACCAAAAGTTTAAGTTTAAGTTTCAAAAGACATGAAACAAAATCTGCACTGAAAATATCCAAATCAAAATAAAAAGCATTTTAATACTATCCTCCTTCCCCCTACACAAAAACATTTATGTTTTTATTATATTTTTATTATGGATATTATGATGTTCTTAATTCAAGTTCATACAACTTGAATGCAACATCACACATTGAACATGATGAATGTAAAACTTAATATCAATTATCAAAATTGTTCAATGCAAAAGAGGAAACAAAAAGATTTATTAATTAAAAACAATCAAACTGACTCTGTTTATTTATCTTTTTGTAGTTTAGTTTGTCACTTATTGCTTACGCTATGTAATTAATAATTATATAGTTATAATAATAAACTCTTTGAAAATTTAAATTTCAATTGCTAGATTCCACTTTTGATTTCTATGGGTTGATCTTTGATATCTTGAACATTGTTATCTTGAATACTAAAGTATACAAGAAGAATTAAGGAAGCCAGTGGAGGTACCAACCACTTTTTCCCTACTGTATTTTAACCTCAATATCTCAAAATCCTTGGAAGTTTTTTTTTCCTAACTCCCTATTGAGTTTGAGATAGCGAGGTTTGACTGTAAATGTAGGTATTATTTTATTTGTAATGAGCAAACAAAGAAATTTTGAAGATGCAGCTTTCAAACGGTGGTAATATGTACCGAAAAACACCTTATTATGGCAGTAAATATAAAACGTCCCACAAAAAAGGACAAATCACCAAATGAATGTAATAAAAAATGAATGTAATATAATTCAAAGCACTTTACCAACAAATCTTGTACAGAAGCATACAGAAGTACATATTTGATTCATTATCTGAATTTTCATCTTTTTACCCAGAGTTGATGCCTGTTTTACACTGTCCTGAATATGAATACTATATAAAGTGCTATGCTATATAGCTGTATTCATCGGAAGAATTGGCTGTCCTTTCTAAATAAGATTTGTCAATCAACGATTCAATGCACTTTTTGATCATTGGTACACTAGGAGCGAATCTTGCTCGGGATTGGCTTATCACCTGAAAAGAAAATAAACAAGGCATTATAAAGTGTTCACAGAGTGAATTGTGCATGACATTAAATCAATCCATTTTTCAGATCTTCACTATAAAAGCATTTTTTTTTTTTAAATTGGGGTCAGCAATTTAAATTGAGGTTGGTCGGGAAAGCAGAAACAAACATTTTTTTTAGGCCTTACTTTAAATATGTGTATTCATTTTTGGGGGGATTTGTATTTTGGCAACTTTGGCTGAATTCTTTCATGACTACAATCAAAATAATTTTCTTTATAAAATAATACATCCAAATTCTGTTTAGTTAGCATCAATTTTTTAAGGCACCCAAATGTTCTACTTAAATTAAAATATGTGCAGTACATATACACAATTTACACATACCTCCTGTATGAGCATGGCATGTTTGAGAATTTTACGAGCTTTCATTATACGGACAATGGCTGCTTGCAAGTACATTTTTCTGTCTTCCTCTACTGCATTGTGGGTCTGCTCTACTTCCTGTTGTGGAAAATATATTCAAATTCACAAGAGTAAAAACCCTTTATCATAAGCCAGAAGGACATCTTTTTTTTTTTAATTCTGCAAAATTCTCTGGCAAGTGTTTACACCTTTCCTTAATTTCTTTCCACCAATTTTATTTCATAAATTTAAAATGATAATTTCAACTGAACAGAACAAAGAAAAATTTCTCAAACTGAAACTACAAAAACGTCTTAAATACACACCTAGGTACAATTTTATACAGTATTCTTAAAATTACCCCAAAAATGGTCATTGTAATGTCAAAATTTTTTTTATCACTATAAACACTTACCTGTGATGAATCTTTCTGAATTGCGGCTGTAATTTTGAATTTTGTCCTTTTGTTTGTATATCCCATATTGAGCGAAATACAGCTACAAGTGGTTACATCTCCCTGTCAAGTACAAATTACTACATTTACAAAATTTTCTTACTTAGCTTGATGGAGATAACTGACACATGAAGACACTTTGATCTGGATTAAATTTAATTTTCTCAGAATTAACACATGAAGACATTTAAATCTAGATTAAATTTAATCTTTGGGAGTTCAGTATATCTGGACATACTATAAACATAGACATGTATTCTTTTTACATGTAGTACTTTTTGGCAGAAAGCAACATCTGTTAAATCAAATCCATAGCTTAATTTCTTTATACACTGTATGCATACATTTATTTATAAATGTTTACTAAAATATCAAAATCTGCCAAATATCATAAACACAATTAATTTCACAGTAACCATAATAGGAATTTAAGATAAATTTGTTTGTAATGGCCCATGGAGATATAGATTCATCATGACTTATTTGTTTTAACTTACCTTGAGATTGTACTCATACATGTATTATGCTAAATTAATCTAGACTTTTTTTGGTGGAGATGATTTTATTTAGACTTACTTCAGTTGAGACAATTTTTGTGTCTAATAAGGTCTGAAGCTGTTTGACAAGTTCCTTCTCTGGTAAGTCAGTATTTTTCTTTATTTCATTAAAAGTCAGTGTATCACCACTATTGAATAACAACAAAATGGCCATGTGGAAATTGCCCATTGTCACAAAGTAAGGCCTCTTCAAATGATTAAACTTTAGCTCAGCTGAAAAGAAAAAAATATAGACACATACATGTAAAGTGAAGAGTTCTGGAGCAAATATTCTCACTTGGAATTCTCTTTCAATACACTCAAATTCAAAATTTTAGGACTTACCCAGATAAATTTAAGATTTAACATGGGAGAATTCACATATGATAATTTAATTCAACTTTACCCTATTACTTTGCTCATATTATAAAAAAGAGGTGCTGAAACATTCTCTATTGCTTTTTATACAAACTGAATAAGATGAACTTTTTGTCTAGCTCTTAATACCACTCTAGGATATGAATATCAATCATATTAATTCTTTATTCTAAAAATCAGAATCAACTGATTTTAACTTAGTTTTCATGTTTGAACCCCCCCCCCCCCCCTTCCCCAAAACTGGGTAGGTGTGTTGGACAAATCTGAATTGGTCTGTAAAATGCAGCAATAACTAGTTGATGCAGCTAATATATATAGAGAGAGAGAGAGAAAAAAAAAAACAATTACCTGTAATGATAAAATGATATTTAATACATACCCGTGCAGAAATTATGAAGCCATGTCAATTTTCTCCCACTATATTTGACATTATAGAAAGCCTCAAACTGCAAAAGATAAAAAAAAGTCAAGCTACATCTCTCACCTCAGTTTAGCATATTTAGTGCTATCTACATTTCAAAATCAAGCAGATCAGAAGCAAGAAACTCAATCATGTACATGAGAATTCCTTGTGAGATGTGCTTCATGATTAGAGGAAAGAGCCATGTTATGTTTAATCATTGGTTAATGAATTGAATCACACCACCTCAGTTCGCACGCATGACATCATGGGTCCAGTAAAGGAGCATAAATAGTCAGGCCCCATTTATCCAATCTTTATTATGTCCATGAACAATCTTTTTTCTTACTTGGGAGAAAGTATGATAATTATGAAAATTCAAACATATGTAAGAAATTCAGATGCGTTAATGGACAAAATCTGAAGCAAATCTCTTTTCATCATTAGTCTTTAGTGCATGACTGTGGCAATAATATGGTACATCCAGGTCTTTGTTTTTAAAGCAAGAGTTACCTCTCTCTCCTTTTTTTCTTGTCAACAAGTGATACATCAACTGATTCTTTTTTTTTGCACTCTAGACTTGTATTATTTGATACTCAATAAACTTTAGATAATGGTATTCAAAATATTTTCATCAATAGTTTATTGCTAAGATATTTTTAAAACAAGAAATATATTGTTTATCTAATATAAACATGGCTATATTAAAGTATTGGAAAAAGGGCATAACTCAACTTTCTTTTCTCAAAATGAGAAAAATAGAAAATTGAGTTAATCCCCTTTTTCAAAATGTGAATAAAATTGATCAGTGTGGCAGACTAAAGATGAATGTGTTTCCCTAAATGAAAAAAAAAATCTCCCAATTTCTAAGCATGAGATACCTCTTTCAAAGTTATAGATGTATCGATCTACTTTATTCACAGAAGGAAACCAACATCACACATGGTTATAATAAACAAAGTCATAGCTTTGTCCTTATGAGGCAATTTCTTACAGCATACTATAAATGTAACTGATCAGAAACAAGAGACTCATCATACATATAAGAGTCCCTTGAGAGACCTGTTTCAAAGATTGGCAAGGGAGCCATATTGGTTTTAATCATTAGTTTATGTTGTTGAACAGAAACCTCAGTTGCACTCCAATGACATCATGCCACACCTACTTTTGGGCTTTAAAATGTCAGGCTCCACCCACAAATCTTTGCTCTGTAATTCATTCTTTCACGCACCTTTCTACCATCATGTATAACATTTAAAACAGGTTTCACTTACACTCACTCATTTTCTCTGGTTTTCAAAGATTTATTTCAATCATCAGGGAACTCACTCAATATTTCTTCAGATGAAAAAATATCAAGTGAAAGGAGCCCCCTTCATAAGACGAAAAGGTTTTCAGATATTAAACCTTGCTTCTCTGTCACCCTTCTACCACACTGAACATTTTAATATTAATATTAATTATTAAAGCTACTTTCTCCCAGACAGAGCTAGAAACAAGTCTCTACTTCATCATATCAAAGAAACTTCTAAAATATGCCATTTCAAACAATTTGTAGGCTTATGTTTGTTTGTTTATTTTGTTTAACGTCCCTCTCAATAATTTTTCACTCATATGGAGACGCCACCACTTGCCGGTGGAGAGCTGCAAATTTTGGCCTATACTCAGCACTTAGGGCCATTGAGCAGTGAGGGATCTTTTTTGTGCCAGCACCCACTGCGACACGGGACCTCGGTTTATACGGTCTCATCCAAAGGACCAGTCTCCACGTCCCACAGTTGGATTTGAACCCTCGACGTAAAGATCAACTCCTTACGCCGCGACTCTAGAGCAAATGCTCTAACCACTGTGCCAGCCGGGCTGTAGGCTTATGGGTTTTATAAACAATATAATTGATTAATTGTTTTTAGTTTTATATCCCTTGCAAGATTGTTTCACTAATCACTCACCATCCAATGGCAGTGACAGGCTTCAAATTTAGACTTTACTCAGCACTCATGCAGGGCAATTGAGCAGTGAGGGATCTTTCGTGTGCCAGCATCTGCCATGACACAGTTTTTTTAGGTCTCACTGGAAAAACCAGCAACTTTCACTTCAAGGTGCCAAGCCCTTGGCAAAGGAACAACTGCTACCTACTTTTTTTTTATCAATTTAAGTTTGTCGTGGCTGGTGCTCGAACCCGTGACTGAGCAAGTGCATCTTCTAAAACTTTAACCTATATGACATCAAAGTTGACCCACCAGAATAGAAACCAATGAACAACAATATGTATACTTTATACTACTCTATCTCTGGACACCAATCCATGATTTTAATAAGTACATCTTTTAGATCACTTACAGTATGGATTCCTGTTGGGATAATATTTAAAATTTTGTTTAATTAATTCATTTAAAGTAAAATCAAAATACTTAATATAAATCTATGCTATCACAACAAGACATACTAGACATATGAAAAGAAATATATCTTTTAGCTATAAAAATGATATTGTATATCTATCTTGCCAAGGAAAACATTCTTTGATTTAGTAGATTTCATAGGAAAGTTTGGATTTAAGGTCTAACATGAAGGGTCCAGGCCTATGCATGTGAGTAATTCAGAATTATATATTTAAAATTCTAACAATTTAAAAAATTCTCAACATCTGTAGAAAAGGCTTATAAAATTTGGTTAATCCCTTCACACAAGAGTTCCACAGAGAACTGCCAAGTGAGCTCATAACATTCACTGTTAACAAAATGTACTGCAGTACATGAACTATAAACATGCATAATGTATTTATTGCAAATGACTTTATATTCACTTCTTATTATGTAAAAAAGATCATTGTAAAATGATCAGATACAAAGAGATTATCATAAACATGACAGTCCCTTGAGAAACTTGCTTCAAAGATAGGGGTGGAGCCATGTTGATCCTAATCATTGGTTTATGTTGTTTACAATAAACCTCAGTCGCACGCAAAGTCATCATGCTACACCTACATGGGCAACAAAAAGTCAGGCTCCACCCACAAACCTTTGCTCTATCTACACACTTGCATACAACTTTCTCAATACAACTTGCATCCACTTTTTTATAAAGAAAAAAAAATCTTTCATTGATACACACAGAGCTACAAGCAAGCTTCTATTTCATCACATCAACTGAATCTCCAGATTTTTTTATGTGTATATGTTTATGCACTTTTTTTGTGATTTTAAAATCTGATAGTTATTATCAATAGAAAGAAAAGTCAGCTAGGTAAAATGTATTTTGCAAACAAAATTTTCTTTTTATTTTTATCAAAATAAATTGCTTCCTTGATGCAACAAACAGCTCTCGGCAGACTGTATCACGTACAAACATAAGCATGAAGCCAAAAGGTACAGACAAGTTTTTCCAACATCATTATTGTCCACCCATACAATGAAGTGTCAAAGCTGAATATAGCTAATGGAATGCAAAAAATAAACATCCGAAGAATCATTTATTTAATGACTAATTAATTTGATGAAAAGTTCAGAACAGCTAGGCAATATTTCCAAAATAATTGTCACATTGCCAATAAATATATAGGTTCATATTCAGATATTATGAATTTCCTAACAAGTCATTCTATTTTTACACCTACTAAAAGTGGATGTAGATGAACATTATTATGTTGACGAACCCTACTTCATGTATCGGATCCCTATTACATACAGATTAAAAACTTATAAAAACTGCCTCTAGAACACACTAAATTACTTAATAGTACAGATTTAATTGCAACAGAAACTCTAATTTAAATCATGCACCAAAATATCACTGTTTTACAGTACATGAATGAGACTGGTTCTTACAGTTGCACTAAGTGTAATGATCAGAAACAAAAGACTCAATCACACGTACATGAGAGTCTGTTGAGAGACTTATTTCAAAGATAAGGAGGGGAGCCATATTGGTTTTAATCACTGGTTATTGCCATTTACAAAAACCTCAGATGCACTCCAATGACTTCATGCCACACCCACCCAGGGTATATAGGTAATCAGGCTCCGCCCCCAAATCTTTGGCTCTGTCTATATCCTTGCATCCATCTTGCTTCCACCTTTCAAAACCAATAAATAGAAGAAAGTTCTTACATACACTCTTTCTCTCCGGTTTTCAAGATCCTTGTTTTCAATCACTAGAGGGTCACATGAGTAATTTTTTAATTAAAAAAAAACTATCATGTATAGAACCCTCTTCATAAGACGAACAGAAGTCTTCAATATTGGGTACCTTAGTTCACTTATATCCATCTATCACACAGGAAAACATTTAAACATTAAAAAATAAGTAGTTATAAAAATCCATTCTCACAGACAGAGCTAGAAATGTGTCTCTATTTCATCATTTCAATTTCATATACTTAATCTATTTTTATCATTAAAGGAAATGAATACATTTTTGGTTTTTCTTGTGAAATCTTCACATAAATAGTCACCATTATGCTCGTTTTTAATGCAAATAACGAGTATGAGCTAGAGAAACAAAAAAAAGAAGTAAGAAATTAATGTTACTAAAAAATCAGAACCAAAGGACTCCATCATAAGCTGAGAATCCTCTGAGAAGCTTGCTACATAATCATTGTCAGAGACCGGTCATGTTTTCATCACAGGTCTTTAAAACGTTTAACCTCATTGAATCCATGGCTTAAAAAAAGTGTGGGCATCAAAACTGTGACCCAGTGTAGCTCCAGCCACAGAACCATGGGACACATTCAGATCTCTGTATTACAATGACTATACTTGCAGCAAGTTTCTATTTCATCATTTGTTCTAGATCTACATAGTATTATTATAATGTATTTCAAAACAAACTAAATAACATAGAGAAACTTTGCCAATCTTTCACTTTTTTGCAATGTTTTACATTAAAAACACAACTAGAATTAATAGTAGTGCACTGTAAATTATTACATTCCTGGTTTATTTCCAGGAACTCTCCTCAGACTATTTAGTATATGTACTACTGTGCATTACTATCTTTAATAAAGTTTATAATTTTTCTGACAGGACAATCTGTTTGTCACTATATTCCATTCCATGATCTATCTGTGAATTTTTTTTTTTTTTTTTTTTTTTTTTGGACACATGATATACTTGATTTGAAATTATGGACCTACACTACATCTTAAAGACTGAAAAGATTTCTTGAAAAAAAAATCATTTAGTCAATGTACTAGGTAAAAAAAAAAGGTAACCAAAGTAAATGCAAATATATGTATCTTGGTAGAGGGGGAGGGACCTTTCAATCAGAGTAAAGGGACTCAATCACATTAATAGTGAGAATCCCTTTTTGAAACATGCTTCAGTGACCAACAGAAAAGATTGGTTTCTTCTCAATCACTGGCTTCCATACAAAACCTCAGACTGCGCTCAACCTTTGACATCATATAAATTCAAACTTTTCCTTGCAGATCACTGCCCTCTCTCCCCATTAAAATGAAATCTTAAATTATATGTTTCTTGCCCCACACCAATCCCCTTTTTTTCTACCCTGACAAGTAACCTGAGTTCAGATAAGTGATCACATTGAATCATCAGAAGACATTATGTCAACTTCATTACGTCAGAAGAGAGATCATGTATCAGACTGCCATCTTTTATTAAATTTATTAAACCTTTCCTTACCCCCGGACCCCCCCCCCCCCCTCAACCACCAACACAACCTCTATACTAACCTCTCAAATAATCCACCATCATAATTTTGATCACAGTGAATCATTAGATGACAAAATGTCAACTTCATTACGACAGAGTAGGTGCAATCAGATGTGGAATTACTTTGCCAAATCCCATTCTAAGTATTAATGATTAATGTACATGTAGTTCAATACTTAACCCACAAAGCTTGAAGCATGTTCCCATTTCATCATGTAAGTTTGAAAGCAAATCATGTCTGTATTTATATTAATTTTTTTTCATTAGAAACTTATTAGGGTTAATAATTTTGTTTATGCACACACACTGTATATGCATCTTGTGACTTATGGCAGCACAAACTGCGAAAGTAATCATTGAATTTTTGAAGCAAATGTTTTTTTTAACAAAAATATGATTTTCAAACAAGCTAGAATAGAAACACACAAACAAAAAAATAAAAAAAAACAAACAAACAAAAAACAAAATCTCTGATATAAAACAGAGTCAAGGAACTCGATCAAATTAGTGATCAAACCACAGTCCGGTCTCAGAATTCCCCCTCGGGTTCTAAATTGAATTTAAAAATTAAAAAAAAAAATATTTCCCCTCTGCAAACCCACCCTCTTTTTCTAACCTCTTAAGTAATCTTCTATCAGACAAATATTGATCATACTGAATCATTAGCAGACACCGTGTCAACTTCATTACGACAGAACAAATATCATATATTAGATTACTGCTAAAGAAAGAAAAAGGGGGAGGGTAATAGAAAGAAAAAAAAATACTTTTAACTTGTCCAATAGGGTTTGAAGCATGTTTCTTTTTCATCACATTTTTGAATCCAAATCACTTAACATGCTTAACTAGAACTGTCCAAAATGGACAAATACCCCCCGCTGGGTTTTTCAGAGAAGGTACCAAATCACTAATGTTTTCTAGATGTATGAGGTGTTCACAATTTGCTTAAACATTTAGAGTGAAAATTTAATTACTCATTATATTTTTTTAATGAATGAAACTAAGGTGCAGCCTAATAAAACATCAATACTAATAATTACAGTGTTTTTCATTACATTGAAAAAATAGTTTGCAACTATCTGTCATCTTTGTGAGACATGACACTCTGCAAATTGATTGTTGAAAAAAAATTATCATAATTAATTATACAAAATCAAATTAATCTTAATACCTTTATATCAAACTCATTTAAAAAATAAAAGGCTGGTTCCAGTAACTATGTATTTTGACAAACATAAATTACAATTAAGAGACTTAGACAACAGAGATATTTATTTCTTTCTGCCCAATTCCCAAGAGATATAGATAAGACCCGCTTGATCAGAGATGCCCTAACAGCTTCCCACACTGAACTCATTAATTAATCTTTAACTGGATGCATGTCCACTCATTACTCCCAAGAGACAAATGGATTTACACTATCTGCTGTGTAATGTAAAAACTGATTTTAATACTTTGTGATTTTTTTTCAGTTCTAATGATTAGTTTTAAGCTGTAGTTCACATTTTTGTACAGATGTTCTAGATTCTATGTCTCAAACCTTTGACAAGAACCCAAAATGACTAAGTCAATAAAAATAAAAAAAAAAAAACACCTGTAAAATGCAGAAAAATTATCAAATAATGATGAAAATACCAGGTGCTCATCTTCATATAGTAAATAATGAGTGTACAAATTTTCATACAAATCTATGCAATAGTCTCTGGGAACAGATCCAGGCAAAACCACATAATAAAAATGAAAAAAAAAAACCTGTAAAATGCAAAAAAAAATTATCCAATCATGATGAAAATACCAGGTGCACACCTTCATATGGCTAATAATAAGTGTACAAATTTTCAGACAAATCCTTGCAAAAGTTTCCAAGAAATAGTCTGGACAAAATCTCGTCTACAGACAGATGGACATGCTGATTCCAATATACCCCCCCCCCTAAACTTTGTTTGCAGGGGGTATAATGAGGTTGTTAGAGAATTTGTGAGAATAACTACAGAGAACCAGATTTTCATACTGATAATCTAAGTACACAAGATACCATTATGTTGCTAAAAAGGTACTGAATGTGTACTTAAAATAGCAGCTTCATATTTTAGCGGCTTTGGCACAGACAACGTTGCGCTAATTCATGAATACCGCTAAAAATTAATTTATAAATACAATATACGGCATGGACATGTATAGTGCTAATTCATGATTTTGCCAACAACTCCATACCCAGTGATTGCGCTAAATTTTGAATACACTAATTTATGTAAACGTACAGTATATTGACATGGTGGGACATATCCAAGGAATTACATTATGAATGAAAATTAGAACTACTATGCCTTTTAATATCATAATCTAATTCTTATGTTTATTTAAGAGCTTTAACTAATTATTATTTTTTAAATCGTATCCCATGGAATGAAAAATGTGAGAAAAAATGTTTTATAAATTAAATTTGGCAATAATTCATAAAGATACAATAAAAACCCAAATATACTGCCAAGATTAGAAAATTACACAATTTCAGTAATGACTACAAAGGAACCATATTCTCTATCTCAGCACTTAATTAGAATGCATTCAAATAACCACAATGATTTACTTTACATTGTGTCTTATAGATTTGCTCACATGTATACAATCATGTATATTTAGCTGTTACAACACTGAATGAAAACATAAACTTACCATCTGCACACTTTTTTCAAGTTCTTGTGGAATTGAAAATGTGGGGAGATTACTTTGACCTATAGGCCATGCACCTGCCTGAAAGTAAATAACTGGATTAAATAAAGAAGAAACAAGAATCTATTAATATTTAATTACAATTCAAAAACAAAATTATTTTCTAAAAACTTATTTTCCCCCACAATCAGTGGGTTTATAGACCATTTATGCTCCTACAGAAAGGTTTCTTGAGAGCGAGTAGATTTTTGATGATGATTTTTCCCTGAAATTTTTTCAATTTTATTTACAGCAGAGGGAATCATGCAATACAGTGTAACGCTGTACCAGCCAAAAGAAAAGAATTATAAGTAATTAAAGGACAAAATGTCACTTAATTAAACTGCTTAAAAATAGATTTTCCATAGAAAATATAAAAGTTCTAACCAAAAGCAAAATTTTAGCAGGATAGTGATGCATGTAATAGAAAATATTTTCCGCAAACACTGAGTCATAAACAGCATTTAACACATCAGTGGTAAGTCTCCATTAAAATTCACACGATCTATGTACACATGTAGTACAGTACAATTCGTTTATAATCATAGTTTATTTGTCAGGCCAAAACTTTATAATAAGCGACTTTTATAATAACCATAGTCGGCTGAAATTCACGTCGGACGGCTGACGATACGACGTTTGTGTAAATTATTGGATGTAATATACATCTTACGTTACATATAATTTCGATTTTTTAGGTTTATTTGGAATACAAGTTAACTGACATATCATTTCACAATATTTACTTACTATTTCCACTTTTTATTATAAATGAATTCACTTAAATAAAGCTTAATACGCTTCAAACTCAATCTTCTAGATCCCTTGGCATCCATCTTGTTTATTTTGATCTACTTTCATTTTTAATTTATGGTCAATTCAAATTACCAATGTTTCGTTTCGTTTTTTTTTTTTTTTTTTTGTTTTTTTTTTTTTTGGTTTTTTTTTTTTTTGGTCACATATTAAATAAATTAACACAGCATGCATTCAAATTGTTTTTTTTATTCATCCAAAGTAGACATAAAAAATTACCTATTTACACTTAATGTCGCCGTATAATTAAAATTAATTGATATGCTGATGAGCATATGCATTCAAAGCCGCTTGGACTGAATGGTGAAAGAGTTAATTTCACTTAATCATTTCTTAATTAATCGGGTAGTTTTGTAAATGTAATTAACTATGAACACTGATCCAGACGATAAGCGTAAGAAAGCTTGGGTTAATATTGACACTAATTTTAGTTTCAACACATTTGGTAAAACGTATTTATTACGAACGTACAATTCAGGATTAACATAAGAAGAGAATAAGTTATGAAAAAAAAAGAGTGTGTGTTATCCTGTCATGTACTTCATGAAATAAACAGACTCCCTGTCAATCGCTCAGGTAAGTGCACTGAAGTGTGACTAATCTCCCCAGTCCCTCACTATCGGCAAATTTCAAAGTGAAAATCAAGCCATTGTGTATAGACAAGCGACAGTGCATGAACCACAAGTGTAGATAGGTGTTATCTTTTGTTTTGTTGATTGTCCCAAGAGTGAAAAGGTGTGAAAAAAAATATTACGGACGGACATTTTCTATTATAGTAAGCGAAGTGTATACTTTTACCTATGATAATAACAGACGAAATTTATAATGAATTATTAAGAAATGGTTTTGTGTTTCAGATATCTATGATAAAAAAAGAAGTATGATATAAAACCGGTATGATAAAATACGAATTGTACTGTACATGCACGTACCTTTTTTCACTTAACAAACAAAATTACCTGTAAAACCATTATAGAGAAATTAACTCCCAGTTCTACATTTTCTTTGGATTGAATAAAATCCGAAAACTCTTTATTTAATGTTGTGCTGATGGAAACATCCGTGAACATCCGATGTAATTTGTTTGTAAATTCATATCCACAAGCTTGCTGGAAAAAAGATACAAAGTTTTAAAATTATTTCATCTATGGTCATATATATACAATATGAATTCATCAAATACATACATCAATATCATACATACTGTACATGTACGATACTGACGCTCTATGTGACATTTAATTTAGTTGTGATGCATAATTTGTTTGTGTTTGTGTGTTTTTAGGGTAAACAAATAAAGTCTTTGGCTTGTTATTAATTTTTTTTTTCATATTGATAATATTTTTTTACCCATCTAAAATCCCAAATGAGAGCATAACAATATTTAAAATACACTCACTAGAAACCCTTACATGTACCCCAGTACTTCACAAAATCAAATTCCAAAGATATTTACATTCAACAAGTTCCTAATTTTGAGTTAAAATGGGTGGATAAAATACAAATTGTTCTCAATCAGATACATATACTTTAACTATATTCTTATATAGTTTATCCAAAATCTGGTTTTTTGCTGACAAGAGATTAATACCCACAAACCTTGAGTTTATTTATCATGGCTTCTTCTGCGTCCATTGAAGCTGACTGTCCGTATATTAATCTTTTGGCCAACATCCGAGAATAAAACTGAAAAGCAGAGTTTAAAGGCATATGAATTTCTAATAAGCTTAATTATTGGAACCTATTTCACAATTCATTAACATAACTTTTAAAGACAGCCTACACCATTTGTATAAATGTCTTTTTCTCAAATCCCCCTAGCGGTGAGCACTATCCAAACATTGCTTCCTAGTGTAGGAAGAGGGAGATAACTCTGTTCACTGATGATTGAACACATCTAATGTTTACAAAGCCCTTGACATCTATTGAGATATTTTTTATATAAATATTTTTTTTTCATCAGCATATGCATAAACAGGTCGTTACTTGTGACCAATACTATAAACAAGCATCACTGTAAAAGTAGGCATCCATCCAACAAAAGTTTTGCAATTTTTTTTTTCACTGGTATTTTGTATTAATATTTTATACATGTACATATTTAACTGAACCATAAACCTTTCTACAAGTCCACCTACCCTTTGGAACACATCTTTATCATCTAGATACTTGAAGACAGTGATACAGTTTGTTAATTTGTCGTCCATTTCAGATTCTGAAATTCCTTTCGAACTTTTCTTTAATAAATTATCACAGTATTTTGAAAGCTGAAAGCAGAACAGGAAAATGTGTGTAGTACGTGTCTTAACATAACATTGTTCCTAATTCTCATAAAGCTTACATTATTCCTGAAATAGTACTATACTACCAAGACATTTAATGTATAAATCCTCCATAGACGATAGTACACTTTTAATTTTACATATATATGTACATTATCCATACTATTACACTATCGCCTTTATACATCATCAGTATTATTAACTTATCAGTCTCTTGTTTATAAACCTATTGATTATTCTTCTTTTGAAACATTCATTCTCAATAGATTTCTGTCAGATTTCTGATAACTGCTTTGTTCAACTTTGTACAGGTGTATATAAAAAACAAAATTGTACACAGAGATTTCAAATTTATGGATTATTACCATTTCTGGGGATTTACAAACATGTTTAGCACTTTGTTTAAAGTTGATTGCTGCAGCACAAGCCTAAAAAACCAAAAATAAAAGAAAAATTTATCTGAATATTCTTTAAGAAAATGGTCAAGTTCATATCTTATCATCAATAAAAACAGAACACTGAATAGTTAAGAAAGAATACATGTATCTTTCAAAAGGAAATACCTTGTCCAGGGCACCAACAAACAGCTGATCAGAGTGGAATACACCCTGAATCATTTCTGTGTACTTCTGGTGAACCTCTAACATAGACTCCACAAACTGTCCCGGCACCTGCAGTTAATTTACAAATTTAGTTATGGGTAATTAAAAGTTATTTTAATATAGGTACATATAAATTACAAGTTATTTGATATGTTAAATCTAGAAAACTTAATTATTTATAGAAAACTTAAATATGAGTTATTCATTTGTTTCTCATAAAATCATTTTTAAAGGTTATTTCTAAATTATTAACATGGACATGTAGTAATAAATGTAAGCTGCATTATTAATGGGGTGGGGTGTAAATTAAATCGTTAATCCTAATGCAAAATTAATTCTGCAGAGCCTTGAGTGAAAATCCAGTATTAGTGAATGAAATAAAACAAACTTTCACTGACTATTATACAGAACGGTACAGAATTTAACAAGTAAAAAAAATTGTATAAGAATATTTTTTCTCAACCTTTCCAGATTCAACATTTTAATCAGTTATTAAACAACACAAGAGACAATATATCCAAATACACAAACATTATTCTTATTATTTACTAACATTCTCTCCTTTAAGATTTTTGACAGCCTCCATTCCAGTTTGTTTGATATGTCCTTCTACTTCTTGCACCAGCACACCAAGGCCTCCATGGATTGGCTTCAGGAGTTTATACATGTTGGAAAGGTCTGAATCAAATGGAACAATTTGCTTAGTATCACTATTTTAAAATTGAAATGTCACTTCTGTTTCATCCTGAATACCAAGTAGAATTTGTACGAACCTTCTGCATATCACATCATAGTTTACTTTATGGAATTACTCCCCATCATCATTTTAATTTGTATCATATAACATTCCCATTCTCTATTACCTAATGATGTTTTGCTTTGCAATTTGACACAGACATCCAAATTGCCAGTAGCCTGTAATAGCAAGCGTAGCAAGCTTTTTAAGCAATGCCTGGGTGAAGAGAAAATTTTGACCACTGCATAATGATCCAATAGAACTTTTTTCCCACAGTACACTCATTACTCACAATCTACATTCTTGCGATAACAAAATAAAAGCTCAGAAATATTCTCAAAAAACAGAGCTTGCCTTACTTTTAATAGAAATTGTAAATAGATAGTAGATAAAACACTCCTTGTTAACGATTTGCACTTTTTAGACTCGATTATATGGAAATGCAACTAACATCCGACACCATGTGACATCATTGTCTAGACCGAATCTTGCGCTTTGATGTCTGAAGAGGCAGATATGTTAGATATAAGTTAAAGTGTAAGCCATCCTCTGCACTAGTAAAACACAACTGTGCTCGCACTGATGGTTGTATCAACAAACATACATGTATTAAACATGAAATAGGCCTTTATTTAAGTCCTACCTTTCCTCCTCTCCTGTTTGACCATGTCTTTACATTCTCCATGGAGAAATTGAAGATGATCAGCTACCATCCTCTGCTGACATTCGTGTGTTATTTTGTTGTAAGAACTCGGATGTAGGAATTTCCGACTTCTGAAGTCTTCATTGTCCAAACGAGTAATTACCTACGTTACAATTAAGGAAAAAAATCAAATCCTATTCTGATATCATGTGTCGTAATATTTATTTTATTCTTAATTTTCTATCATTCAAAATACATCATATTAATTTTAGAAAGAATCAAAGTTACGAGGGGTGATCAAAAAGTTCGCGAACTATCTCTATATTTACAAAACCACAATTTAGATCAGAATGAAATTTGGCACACATATAGTCATACACATGTTCTATAAATAACATATGTTAAATAATGTTTTGCTCCGTGTTGGTGACGTCACAATGTGAAAATGACGTCAATATGTAGGTCACTTGTGACAAAAAATGGTTGACTCAGTCGTGCTCGAGCAACGAACAGCTGTAAAGTTTAACTTATATCCTGGAAATTCCTTTGCAGTAGAATATGATAATTTGTACAAGGTTTATGAAGACAAAAGACTTACCAGAAGTTCAATCATTAATTGGATTGATTGTTTAAGTAAGGACAGGGAGACGGTTAAAAATGATGTTTGTTCTATTGCCCATCGAAAGCAAGCCGGGGAAAAGATGTGTCCGTAGTAGAGCAATTTGTTATGAAACATCGTCAAGTAAAAATTAGAAAAATGGTTGTATATCTTAACAATAATTTAATTATTAAATCTCTAAAATATCGTTTACTTTAGACTTTAAACATATGAGATATGATAAAAAGAAGGCGCCCATACTTTATCCACATTGGGTAAACGACTCTCCCGAGACAGAGGACTCGGGTTGTGATGGGTCACCATACTAATTGTGGGAAGGGATATCCTTATCCACCCATCCTATTGCCGAGATTTGGCCATTTCTGACAGATGGACTGTTTTTGTTTTAAAAAATAACTTGCATGGTAAGAAATATAAGACTCGGAAAAATCTTTTAGCTTCTCTGAACAGACTGCTTCGGAGCATGTCACGTGACTGCCTGGATCACGTGATTCGCGCATGGGCAGAACAATTGCAGATGTGCATTAAAATCGGAGAGGACTACTTCAAAAAATAATAAACACTGAAACTTCATTTTATTTCTTTTAAAGAAGTAATTCAATTAGTTCGCGAACTTTTTGATCACCCCTCGTACTGTACTTCTTTAAAAAAAATCAAAATACCCCTTCTATATGTATATGAAGAGCACAATTTGCTTTTGAATTCAGTCAGTTATTTACGATGACAATGGCACAGAAATATTGCTAATAATACTGAATTTATTTCACAGCAAAAATACACTGTAGGAAAGTTAAACAAATTTCAAAACATTTATTTGAAAGTTTTGCATTCAATAATTAAGCTACCATACATGTACATGTATCCTTACTCTGAACTGAAATATTGGTGTACACTTACTGTGTATTCTAAAAAGGTATATTCATCATTAAGCCTACCTTTTCCATGTATTCTGAGCATGTGTATACATCTTTAAGCCTACCTTTTCCATGTATTCTGAGCAGGTGTATTCATCTTTAAGCTTGGCTGCCTCCTGTCTATAATGAGCCCCAGTCTCCATTTTGTATGGATTCTCCAGCAACTCCTCATACAACAGCAGAGGGTGCTTCCTCTTATATTCTTGGACGTTGACAAAAGAGTTGATGACGCCATGCACCACAGTCTGATTGACCATCTCCCCCATCCTGTCCCTGTTGACTTCATTTAGAATCAGCTTGATGAGGGTTTCCTTATGTGGTTCTATCATCAGTCTTTTCCATGTGTCTAAAGCAAGCTGTAATTCACCAGAAAGTACTATATTATGCGATGCATGTAAACTTGCTAGTCTGATGGAATGTCACATGCCCAGGGTTGAGAATTTTGAAACTACATTCATGCTTTCAAATAACTATTCAGTGTATATACATGTACTATATAAATAAATAAGTAATACCCATACTGTTGCAAATATTTTAACAATTTACATTTTTTTTACACTTTTTTTTTTGGGGGGGGGGGGGGGGATTGATTATAAAATATGTATATACACAGTAATGAATAATAGAGTATCTTTAAATATTGTAGAGGTAAATGTTACTGACAGATGACTCTAGTATGCTATAAAAATTTTAAAACGTTTTTATGCCCCGCCATGAATATGGCTGGGGCATATAGTGTTTGTCATGTCCATCTTCCATCCTTCCGTCTGTCTTTCCATTGCGCTTTGCATTTAGCTCTGTTCAAAGCTCAGTTTTAAAGAAACTATCCAAGATATTTTTATCAAACTTAATATGCTGATAGATATTGATGAGAGCTATGCAACTGCATCAACATTTGACCTTGACTTTTCCTCTGACCTTGACCTCACTTTTCCTAAATTAGTGTTTAGCTCAGTTTTAAAGATACCATTCAAGACAGTGAAATCAAACTTCATATGTTGATACATACTGATGTAAGCTATTCAACTGCATCAATATTTTTTTACCTTGACCTTTCCTTTGACCTTGACCTCACTTTTCTTAAATTAGTGTTTAGCTCAGTTTTAATGAAATCATTCAAGATATTTTTATAAAACTTCATATGCTGATACGTATTTGTGAGAACTATTCAACTGAATCAAAAACGCTTGACCTTGAAGTTTCCTGTAACCTCACTTTTCTTAAATTTGCATTTTGCTTGATTTTAAGGAGGTTGGATCCTGCCATCAAAAGTAATGAGAATTTTTTATGAAGTATATTTATAGAATTTATACACATAGCTTTATTAAAAATCAAAACAAAAAATGGGGGTCAATGCGCCTCTTTTGGCGCTACAGAGCATTTAGTTTGACCTTTTTGCACTGTAAATACGTCTTACACATATATCAATTTTTAAAGTTTTTCCTTCAATATTTTTTGTTCAAATAAATTATGGTGAGCAAACACAGTCTTATTTCATCTTAAATAGACCCATTAAAATTTGTAACAACGAAGTAATTTTCGAAGTACTCCGCATCTTCAATTATTTGACCTTTTTGCACTCAAACATTTTCATTTTTCTGGCATTAAAATTTAACAAGCAAAAAAATCATTTGAAAGTAATGCCATTTTACTGAATTTAAGAAGAATGGTTAAAAGTATCGTATATATTCAGAAAAGAAAATTAGAAGAGGGGGTCTGTGATGTTAATTTTTAGATATTACTAAAATAGTGCTAATTTTAAGCTTAAATTAGGGCTATTTTTTTTCTTCATTTCCACAATATATTTGCTATATTTATCAAATATGATGATAGAATTCATGACAGTTTATTTAATAGATAATTTAGGACCAGTATAAAACAGTCCACTGCACAAAATAACTATGTGTGCAGACTGCATGTAAAAATAGGAATCCAAACTTAACATACTTTAAATACTTCGAAAGAGAAAAAAATGATCATTTTCTTCTTAAAAAACCTTCCGCCACAAAATATAGTTCCTCACTTAATGCTTTTGGTATGGAATTTATTCATGGAGTTTTAACTGAATATAGTTAAATTGGCATTGTAGAATCCAAATTTATTGTAAGAATTAAAACATTACGCAGAATTTTTGAAATATAGGTTAAGATAAGAATCTGCTCAAAAGCTCAGGAGCGAACCTCGTTAAAGAAACCATTTACGATATATTTATGTAAGCTTATGCACTTATACATAATTTGGTGAGAATTTATCATCTATATCCAACTTTTTAGATTTCAATTTTAAAGAAACTATTCAAGATATTCTCATCAAATTTCATACACTAATACAAATTTTCATGTTGCATTACTAATATACCCTCGGTGGGGCATTCATGTCCTATGGACATATTTCTAGTTAGATTAGATTCTTCTAAATTTGCATACATTTTTATTGTTATTTTATATAGATTATAAAAGTTCCAAGATAAAAAATTATTCAAAAGTACTTTTTCTACTTCATAAGGTGAAAATGTTGGCATTAAGTATAGATTTGAATAGTCTCTGCATAAAAGTACATTGTATATAAATTGAGTATTCTCTCCAATGTTGTATTAATTTGCTGTAAATACTGTAGACCCTTTAAACCTTAAAATAAACCTAAACAGATTTTTGTATAAATTTGAGTGATTTCAGCACACATGCTACAAATAAATTTCAAAAGCTCTTTCGAATTGGGGAATATTAAAGAAACTAGTATTGAATTTATCACTCAGGGTCAGATTATTTGTTTCCTTCCCAGTTGAAGACATATAATTTACTCTTAATATTTTAAAGGATAGATTGTTTATTTATTGCCAAAATTTACAAGCCCCCCCCCCTTCAAAATCAAATGGTCGTCCTCATAGATTTTGAAGTCCATTCCAAAAAAGGTACATGTACCAAATAAGATGTAATATACTCCGAAATTTAATTATTAAATCTATCTGAATGAAATTGTATTAACAGCTGAGATGCTTTATCATATCCTGCAAAGAATCTTTGAAATCATACGAACAATTAACTCCCTTACTTTATGCTATTATTTAACATTGCACGGTTACGCCGCCAAACAAGATTGACCTGTCCGAATTTACCCGTGTTGTGGTTGTATCCAGATTCACCCCACTCTGCCAATGCACTTTATTTTGCTAATATTTGAATAAAATCTGGAGGAAAACAATCTAAAACATCGATATATCAAGGATTATGAATGAAATTCAGACATCGATTCCAAATTAGGTTACTTATTAGTCAGTTTCCCGTTGATTTTCTTTCCAAACAGAGCTGAAGTGACTATTGTGTGAATTATCCGGATATACTCAACCTATCAACTGGGCCTGTTTACCTCTCCTGATCTATGATACACATAACACCTTTTGATACTTATTAAAATTGCAAATAGTGTTGGAGGTTTAAAAGCTACAGATTTGGAGGCAAAATACATGTACAGTAGGCCAAATTTTAGAGATTCTAGAAAATAAATTCGTAATGACAAAAAATACCTTTGAGTTCATGACACTTTAAAAAGGAAAAACAAAATTGAAGTATTTGCTTTTTATGTGAAGAAAATACAGTTTGTAAAGAAAACATGGATAATCATTTAGAAAACAATGAATGTGTTGCACTCAAAATCAAAGAGGTGACTTATCTCTAGATCCATTTATGTCAATTTGACAGAATTTCATGTTTTTTTCCCCTGTCTCTAAGATATGACCTTCTTAACTGGTAATGTAATAACCATATTCCATACTTATTAACATCAAAACAACTACTTCTCTTTCTTCCTCTAATGTTAAAGCATTACATATGGGATTTAACCCTAGCAGTAATATTTATAACAGCATGACATATTGGCTATTCCCAGATCTATAAAATACATTTCACTTGGCCTTCCTTACCTCCCCTGATATATTACATATCTATTAATTGCCTTGCTTACCTCCCCTGATCTATTACATACCTATCAATTGACCTGCTTACCTCCCCTGATCTATTACATATCTACACGTATCCATTGCCCTGCTTACCTCCCCTGATGTATTACATACCTATCAACTGCCCTGCTTACCTCCCCTGATCTGTTACATACCTAACAATTGCCTTGCTCACCTCCCTTGATGTATTACATACCTATCAATTGCCATGCTCACCTCCCTTGATGTATTACATACCTATCAATTGCCTTGCTTACCTCCCTTGATGTATTACATACCTATCAATTGCCTTGCTTACCTCCCCTATTTCCAGCAGCTGGTCTGCTGTGTCTGTGCTGATTCCACCATAACTCAGGTCAGCATCTGTGTATTTCTGCTTCTTTATGTAAGTTGTATTTAAGTATCTAAGAAAATACAAATTTCCATATCTTGAGTAATCTCTTACTACATAAGACTAATATACCTCCAAAAGGTTATACCTGGCTTACATGTTAAGATTTTTCCACATGCAGAAAACATAAATTTCAACTTGTTCAAACTCGACAAACTGGTATGAATAGTAATATGCAGCTAGCTAGTTGAAATATTTTTATATGAACACTTGCATAAGACTGTTTCACAGATTTAACCACACAACTGGTTCAGATATATAACACAATAAGTTCAGATGTCACACACTTACCCATACAACTAGTTAAATTATCATAATTCACGTACAATTGGATCAGAAATAACACTTGCATGTACCCATCTAACTGGTTCAGATACTATACACTTGCTTATACAACTGCTTCAGATATCATTCTACCCATTCAACTGGTTCAAATATCACACATTTGCACATATACAACTGCTTCAGATGTCATACACTTACCCATACAAGTGGTTCAGAAATCACACACATGCATCTATAAAACTGGTTCAAATATCACACATTTACCCATACAACTGGTTCAGAATCACACACTTATCCATACAACTGGTTGACCGTTCAGATATCATACACTTATCCATACAGTTGGTTCAGATATTATACACTTACCAAAATAACTGGTTCATATATCCAACACTTATCAATACAACTGATTCAGAATCACATACACATACAACTGGTTTAGATATCACAACCTACCCATATAGCTGGTTCAGATATCACACACTTACACATACAACTGGTTTACATATCACACAACTACCCATACAAATGGTTCAGAATCACACTTACCCATATAGCTGGTTTAGATATCACACACTTACCCATACAGCTGGTTTAGATACCCTGATCCTTGGCTATATTCCTCCCAATGTTTATGGTAAGTTGCCAGACAGTTTTCCTCACCATTTTCTTGTACTTTCTGAAAATAGTCCAATTAACATTTTATAAAAACGAAAATAACTTCAATACTTTTCATCTTTAATTGACACATGTCTGTGGTTATTTCACTGATGCATATGCTTTGTATCACTACCGAGAAACTGATGGTCTTGGTATATTTCAGGATCTTTATTTATAAGAGGATTATATTATAAACATACTTGCTGATATTTCTAAGGCATACATGTGTGTATGTATATATATATATATACATGTATATATATATATATATAATTATATATATATATAATTATATATATATATATATATATATATATATATATATATATATATATATATATATATATATATACATTACTGTAACAACAATTTTTATACCATACACTATAACCGAAAGTGTTAGACCCCCACCCCCCCACCCCGACCCCTTACCCTTTTCCCTCAAGAAAGACATGATTTAGGAAATTATGATTCATTTTATCTTGCATATCCATACCTTATACAGCTCTGAGACATGGTTTTCTAGGAACTTTTTGGTCTCTGTGTACAGTTTATCACTCAGTGGATCAGGACAGGCAACACATAGGGCATAAACATCTGTACACAGCTGTTAAGTTTATATCAGTTGTCTTAGATAACAATGCCACATAATGTTTTCCATTTTACTGTCTTGTGAAAATTGTTAGTAATACTTAATAGGCCATGTCTTTCATTGTTTTGTCAATGTTTCATCATCATTATAATGTCAAACAAAAAAAAATCAGCATTTTATATCAGATTATGCTTATTGGCTTAGCAAAGTCACTGACAACTGTACCTTCATTTTATTTTTGATTTTTGCATGTTTACATGGCTTCTTATAAAATATGAAATAAGAATATCATACATTTTCATGAAATGAATGGTAATTACCAAATACAAAACAATTTGTTTTTGTTTCACAATTTTACATTTTGTAAAATTCACAATTTAAGCATTTTATTTTTGCTTTGGTATATGTTGAATAGAATTGGTGAGATTTACAAAATTGGAAATTTGCATTTCATTTTTTTTCTGATTCCCCTGACATTATGGTCTGCAGATAAGTAATCCATGAAATTAGAAAAATATGGTCTAACCTGAGTTTCTTATAAATTACTCACATGGTAACTATAGATATTAACTATATCAAGTAAGAACATTTTTTTTAAAAATACTTTTCTTTTTACATTACAGGTATAAACATGATAAAAGGCAGTTGTCCTTATTATTTTAACAGTTTATTGTACTTAATGCTTGTGACATAAATGTAAATCCAAGTTACTGAATAAAAATATACAGATATACATGTGAAAATTTCAATAAAAAAAAAAAGGATATGAAAATCTGTCATTCCATGTGGCACGGCCAACCTTGGCACATGTAACAACGCCCTTTACTGTTTCCAGAAGAGTTGCCCAGGTGGCATCAAAATCAACTTTCCTTGGTTTCAAAGACATATCCTAGTAATAAAATACAAGTAAAATCATGACTCAACATACACAATATGTACATAAAATTACCAATTAAGACACTACCTCAGAAGCTACCTAGATATCTGCACTGTCATATGTTGTACTTACAAAAATGACTAACTGATTTTGAGTTTGTAAATATTACTTTCATTTATTGAAAAAATCTTACACTACTTTTCATACAATAAAGGCTCAAACTGAAGAAAAAGAGAATCCATGAAAAGACTGTTTTGTGATAGCTGTGGTACTTTTTTTAGCAAAGCAAATTTTATAGTTGGTGAAAAGTGATGTAACTGTAATTGTTGATAAACATCATTAAATTATCTACCAATTAAACCTTCGCCAAACTATATTAATTTGTCCTGCAAAAAGAAAAGTACCTCACTAAAGTGAAAAAAGCAGCTGAAAAGGTGGTCACATTTAAGAAGTGAAATCAGAGTTATCTCCCCAGAGTATTTTGGATAAATGTTATCTTGGATCTGTTGTGTGAATATTTTTGCAGACCACTAGCTATAGCAGTAAATTTTAAAACTTATTCTCTTTTCATGACTCATTTTTCACAGAACTTTGAAGAAATCCAGAGACATTGCTTCAGAATAGATTTACTGATTTGCCTCCAGCAGGATTTCTATCGATTAAGAAGACTCTTGGTATAACTCAGTTTTGAAAAATGTATTCTATATTTTAATATTTTCAATTTCTTCCTAAAAATACCTTCTTCCTTGTTGTGAAAAATGCGATTTCGTCACAGATTTCGTTCCTTTGCAGAGGAGGTCGCCATATTGATCACCTATAAAATAATTTTTTAAAGAAACGCAAATATAATTTTAAACATATAAAATAATTCAAAATGTTATTTATTTTTTCTATAACAAATAAGTGACAAAAACTGAGCATTTCTTTATATCCTATAAACACTATTCAGAATTAAACACTAATCTCTATTCGTAACATTATGTTTTCGTTTCGGTAAAATTGAGATTTGCTCAACAACAACTTGCATGAACTTGGTAACAGATTCCATCGTGAACGCCGGATTTTTTTGTAGCTTTTGAGGTTAGATATCTATATTTTGAGATATATTTTGCATTTATATCCCGAGAAATATACTAAAAATTAACATCTTGTTTCAACTTTTTAGTTTCCTTTTCGATAGGCCAGTGTGTCGTATTTGGCGAAATAAATTCTCTATTTTCGGTTTTACTTTAATTTTTATCATGCCTTATTTCAAGATTTTCCAATCTATTTTCGGTTTTGCTTTAATCTTCATGATGTATTGACGTTTTTCTTTATTAGAACAGTACTGACAATTTGTAAAAAAAATTTAATTCTTTCACCATGTTCACTAAGGATGCTTTGACTGATAGCCTTATTCTGAACAGTACCTATAGGCTAAAGTCCCTATAATTGTGAAAAGAAAGTAGCCCAGAACCTGTTCAAGTATGGGTATTTCATTTTATCTTATTTTTACCTTTACAGGATTTTTGTTTTTATAATAGTTTAATGAAAGGTGCATTAATATTTAAAATATTTTTAGAACACTTTGAGAGGATTTCCAAAATGTCTGCACAGGACAATCCTTTGTTAAACATGGGTACTACAAAGAAATATGATATTCCTGTTGCCCATTTAGATTACAAGTACATTGATGAATGTAATGATGTCAAATATCTGGAGAAGATACTCAAAGTATTAAGGTAAAAATTGTAATATAATAAAACTTGTGTCTTAACCTTTTTTTGGTTACAGGTGTACAATCAAGTTAATTAATCTTTTAAAAGGAGGTTTATATCTAAATTATGATTAATTCATCTCATAATTACTTGTATTAAGTAACAGTCCTAATCACCACAAATATTTACTCATTACTTACTGATAGAATAATCAAATATGAGGCTTGTAAACAAACTGAAAGTACAGCATTAACCCATCATTTTAATTAAATGAAGTACTGTACAATACACCTAATCCTCAGTATATCAAACTCAGAATCAGATTGACAAAAACAGTCTAAATGTGAGATAACTAAGTATAAACTCAGGTTTATACTTTTGTTGGGATCAGGGACTCAGTTTAACATGTGCCTGGTATGGCTAGTACAGTAGTCCTACAGAAGTGGAGTTTGAAATGCTTATTTATTAACAGTTGAATCAAACCCTTCGTGTTCCAGATTCCACTGCATAACTTATTTATTAATTTTTCTTATAGATTGAAAATCAAACTTTATATTTATGTTTCCTGTGATTTCTAGGTCTGGCTCAGAAGGAAGGTACCCAGAAATGGAGAAGCAGTGTGAAGATAAGATAGAAAAACTTAATCCTGCTAGGTCAGTCATAGTTTCTGCCTGTAAAGTTGTACGGAGGTTGTGTTTTCACCCATGTATGTCTGTCTTATTGTTTATCTATGGGAAGAGATATGCCATGAGGCAGGAATAAATTTATTTAAAGCAGGATAATAATCTAAATTGATCCCTGTGGTATATGACTTTAGAACTCTGCAAAATTGGTGAATCTTTAATTAAACTAAAAACCACTGGATTCTTAAAATTGGATACTTGGGGGCAAAATACATGAAACACCCAATAAAGATATTCAGAAGAGATGGTGGTTTCTTGGAATTCTAGACTTAACAGCTAAGCTTTATTGTCAATTTTTGTAGCCGGATTCTGAGAAAAGACAATCCAGTGAAGAAGATAAGTGACATTGATCGAGATGAAGGCCATTCTTTGCAGAAAGATCTTCAGGTAATTTTTTTTTCAGATCATACAACAGATCGTACAACAGATTCTCTGATTTCTATGACCATTTGAAGAATTAAAAAAAAAGGAAGCCATATTTTAAATGAATATTTTGTGTTATTATGTTTTTTTTAAGTGTATTAAAACATGGATGCAAAATCTCACAAACATTTACATGTAGATAAACTTTGTTAATTCTTGAAGGGAAATGCATGCATTTCACAGAGTATGAAATTGTATAAATTTTATCATTATTCAGGTGAATCTCTTCATACTAAAATGAATGCACTATACCCATGATTACAGATCTGACAAATTTCTGAAGACTGTCAGATATTTGCCAGGTAGATTGACAAAAGTTCAAAATCTTGTCAGTCCAAACAAAACTCTGTCAGTTCACTTTGATTGTTCAAGTTCATGTCACCTGGACAGGCAAGGAATTCATCTGTCCAATTGTTTTGTCTTGCGGACCGACAGGAACTAAAATGTTTTTGACAACTCCGGTTTCATTACTAGGACAGTATGGTACCCCACTCAGTTTCCCTGAGTAACATTTTGTCAAATTTTGATTTTTTTTAAAAATAGAATTGGACATCTGATATAAAGGAAATGGAAGGATCGGTCAATGGAGTTTCCGAATTTGATAACGAGAATCTTCCACCAATCAGATCAGGAGCCATATCTATGAGTGGAAAACCAATCCAAGTACGCTTTTTTATGTCAAAATGGGTGACATGAAATCTGTGTGTTTTTTAGTATATATAGTGCTAGCTGTTGATTTTTCTGGAATACAGTGAAACAGATTTAGACTTTTCAATATGTTCAATATTTCTTATACATAATTGTTTAAATTTTTTTAAAAAATGGTAATTTAAAAATTTTAAACAACAGCAGTGATGTATGACTTGTGCTTGAGTTACATGTATACATTGATGTAAATATTAATTATTAGAATTTGGACAAGAATCTAATTTTTGCTAAATTGATTACAGCCTGAGAAAGACAAAGACAAGAAAAAGCCAGCCATGCCTCGCAGCTACAAAGAATGGGACAAGTGAGTCTTTTATACCGATAAACCAATAAAAGATGTTTGTTTTTGCTGTTGCATGTTGTTCTACGCCTACATGCACGATTGAACTTTGCTATTTCGAACACTCAGTCTTATATCTCAAATTCCATGGATATGTTGAAGTGATTTGGAAGTCCCAATCACTTATTCTTTAAAGTATTTTACCCTTGATATCTCGAATCCTTGGATTATCTCAAAGTTTTTTCTCAGTTTCATCGAGATCAAGATAACAAGGTTTGACTGTATATACATACATGTAATGCTACAATTCTTGCATGTGCTAGCCCTACATGTCTTTCAGATGATAAGAAATATACAAATTAGAAGAACTTGGAACATTACACAGATTCTGTAGAGGTGTATTATTTTATAGGTTTGATGTTGACAAAGAATTGGAAGCTGCAGAAAAAGATAAACCCAGAGAGAAAGGCAAATCCTCAGCACAGCCTGTTATAGAGGATATCATAGACTCCACAGGTTAGTACACAGCCTGTTATAGAGGATATCATAGACTCCACAGGTAAGTACACAGCCTGTTATAGAGGATATCATAGTACACAGCCTGTTATACAGTGGCGCCGCGTTTATCCGGACGCCATTTATCCGGACGCTTCACCATCCGGACGATATTTTTTGGGAACCGATTTTTTTCCACGTTATTTTGTCTCATTAATCCGGAAATTCGCGTTCCGTATCCGGACGGTCAATTTCTACTACAAAACATAATAGTTCATTGAAAAATGACTCGTTTATCCGGACGGTAATTTTTCAAGAAACGACATTTTCACACTTATCCTGCATTCCAGGGGCGTAGCTTGACTTTAAATTCTAGTGAGGCAAATCAAAACCATACATGTAGCAGCAAAAGGTCTGGGGCCGCCTTAAGCCCCCATCAGGTTCCGGTTGATGTCATGGGGGGTGGGGGCACTCCGATAGAAAATGGAGTTGGGGGTTTTAAAATGCAATGAAATTTCATTTGCTGTACTGGTTTCTTTATTTAAGACTTCAGCATGATACTACATATTGTAAAAGAATGTAAAAGAGTTAAGAAATACATGTATGTTTACTAAAACTTTTGAAACATTTAAAGGTGAAAGCGCATCTTATTAAATTTTGCTTTTATTTCTTTAAAACTTCAATTTAACATTAAAGAACTGCTTAAAATGTTAAAAGAAATACCATTAATATTATACCTTTTATCTGCAATGAATTGTTGATTACGGGAAGGGTCGGTGGTGGTGAAAAATCTAGTGAGGCAGTTGCCTCATTGCCACAATGGAAGCTACGCCCCTGCATTCGTGTTAATTGTTGTAAAAACATTGGCCATGCAGTCAGTTTGAAGGCGGTTACGTGTGACCTACAAACAATAGCGTCTATAATTAGCGTGTGTTTACCCCAATTCAATCACACGTTTATCTTTATTACGAAGCTCAAAGAATTTAATTGACACTGTGCATTACTTAAATAATAATCCGTTCAAAATCATATTGCTAACCGTATATATATATATATATATATATATATATATATATATATATATATATATATATATATATATATATATATATATATATATATATAAATTCATGAGAATTTTGGAGAGTTGTAAATAAAATGAACAATAAATAACGAGCGATTTCGTAATGCTCTTTATCATGTCGATTGCGTTAGTTTAAAATACGATGTTCCATTTCTAAAAAAACGTAAATGTATTTGAAAGGCTTTTTTTCCCACAAGACAGTATAGAAAGGTACATAATAGAAGAAATATCTCTATCTAATGTACTACCGTTTACAAACGTCCATTACATATCAAACTGGCGTTATGTACAGAAGTTGATTACGTTTTTCAAGGTATTTTTTAATGATCGAAATTCAAACTTAGCGTCTGTAGAAAAAAAAAATATTGATAATCATGAAGATGGCTTGTGTTTACGAATGTTTTTAATACTTTGTTTGATTGGTTTGCAGTGTTCAGTTAATTTTATAGTAACCATGTGTAATGAATATACGGGGAATATACAGGGTTAGTTTATATTTGAACATTTTCAATGATGATGCTGAACAGTTCTGTCATATCATATAAGCTTCAATAATTATAATATATGACAAAATAAAACAACAGTAGATCAAAATTTGCTCAACCCATGAAGTCACATGTCAAAGAGAAGGTGAATTAAAAAAGGAGGTCTCGGCATAAAATTGGCCATCCATTTTTTTTTTTTATTAATCAATTACTGCTTTTAAAACAATTAACCAAAATATAATTTAAAAGTTTTTTTTCCTTGCTGTCACATCTGAAACAAGAATGTGCATATATACATGCTTATATAGAGTGCTTTTTGATATGTGATTCAATTATCCGGACGATTCATTTATCCGGACGATTTCGTTGGGGACAGAGGCGTCCGGATAAATGAGGCGCCACTGTAGAGGATATCATAGACTCCACAGGTGAGTACACAGCCTGTTATAGAGGATATCATAAACTCCACAGGTTAGTACACAGCCAGTTATAGAGGATATCATAGTACACAGCCTGTTATAGAGGATATCATAGATTCCACAGGTTAGTACACAGCCTGTTATAGAGGATATCATAGACTCCACAGGTTAGTACACAGCCTGTTATAGAGGATATCATAGACTCCACAGGTAAGTACACAGCCAGTTATAGAGGATATCATAGACTCCACAGGTAAGTACACAGCCAGTTATAGAGGATATCATAGACTCCACAGGCAAGTACATGTATAGTACAGCCTTTTATACATACCCTGATAAACTTTGGCCTGGAAGAATACTGTTTAAAACTGTATCATGCTGCCTAGTGAGATGGTATTGTTAATATATATGCCCCTTCCACATGACCTACTGACCAGATATTTAATTCCATAATACACGGTTACTGTTTTCACTTGACCTAATAATTGATGTCATATGAAAATATTTGGGGTCCTTAAAAAATGCAGTGTATGTATTTTTTCAAAGACCTCATATATTTCCATGTTACCCCTCAAAGTGTCTACATAACTGATACTATAGAGGATGACATAGACTCCAAAGACAAGTATAAAACTCTCATAAATGATGTCTTAGACTCCTAAGGTCTATGATGCAATACATAACACAGCTGGTTATAGAGATGCCATAGACTCCACAGAAAAGTATAATACAACATGTTATACACTTCATGGGCAAGTTCTATACTACCTGTATCTTTTGATAGAGACAATACTTGGATTACAATGTGAATGACCAGGGAAAAGGTTATTGTACAGAGATGAAACTCTTTTGCTCTTCTTTCTCTGAAATATAAATAATCTGATGATAGTATGATGGAATCTTGGGACTTGAGTTTTATAGAAATGTGTACACTGTTTGACTCTTTCAACTAAATGTAGTCAGGATATTTTTGTACAATTATACATTTGTGAAGTGTTTATAGTGTTGATACAGTTGAACTTTGATATCTCGAATATCATGGATATATCAAAATGATTTGGAAGTCCCAACCACTTATTCTTTAAGTATTTTATGCTTGATATCTGGAATACTTAGATATCTCCAAGTTTTTCATCGGTCCCATTGAGTTTGAGATAATGAGGTTTGACTGAATTTAATCTGCTTTGTTTGCATTTTATTACTTAGTGAAAAAACAAAGATCATTTTATTTCTACTCTCTGTTGTAGGAATGTCAGAGAGGGAAAAAGAAATGAAGGCAAACAGAGAAAAAGACAAAGGGAATGAGGTACAAAATTTCAGGAATATTTATATATGAGAGTTGAATTCTCCAAAAAGTTTTAAAGAAAGAAATCTCAGTAACCACTTGAACATGGTATCCAAAGACATGTTCATGAAATTCTCAATTTTAGGGTACCACAAAAATCAAAAGGGCACATCATATATGCAACTAATAAATATTTGTCATACTCTATTTGCCACAGAAATCGGTAAGAATATTATTGTCATTTTTCAGGCCTTCAGATCTGGAGACTATCAAGAGGCAATATCTTACTATTCCAGAAGTATATCCCTTCTGCCTACCCCACCCTCCTACAACAACAGGGCCCTGGCTTGTAAGTCTCTCTCTCTCTCTCTCTTTCTCTCTCTCTCTCTCTCTCTCTCATGTCAGGTCAAATTTGGGATTTTTCTCTCAAAGGTGCATGTAAATGCAAGAATTTTTTTAAACTGTAGAAAAATTGCTGTGTCACAGATCAAAATTGGATGTTTAAGAAAACAAAGTAAAAACATCAAGGAAATCTGTGAAAGGTAGGGGAAACACTGTGACTTGATGAAAATGCAATAATTTTTTTGTCAGATTTAAAGACTAAGGAATGGCTAAAGGCAGAAACAGATTGTGACAAAGTTCTCTCTTGGGAGCCTAAAAATATCAAAGGTATGACGAACATCTTTCTTAGATTTGGTTTTTGAATGTAAAACTCAATAATCTTATTGTGTTTTAGGTGATGAATCTTTACTATAGATGATCATTGTAAATTATACTTTAAAAATTTCAACATTTTAATGAAATCTGATGCCAACTTATATAAATTAAAATACTTATTACTACCATTGAAATCCTGGTGAAATTTTTTGTTGATTTTGATTATATTCAAATTATTAATTGTTCAGAGTATTATAATGTACATATACATTTTATATCTCTGATTTTTTTACGTAGCCTTGTTGAGGAGAGGATCTGCTAGAATGGGAAAGAAATGTTTTACTGAGGCCATGACAGATTTTAAGTATGTGCTGGAGCTAGAACCCAAGAACAAAAGAGCACAGGTAACAACTGAAGACAAATGTACAAGTAAATATATATATTATTAACCCTATAATGGTGATGTTATCGGTGTATTCTGTTCATGAACAACCCTTCAATGTCTCGCACAAGGAAATATTTTTACTATATGATACCAGATTGTCTTGATTAAATTAATCAACTGAACTCTCAACAGATACATGTGATTATTGAAATGGAAAACAAAGGTAGATTAAGGCTTTGACAAAAAAAATGAGATTAGGAAAAGCTACACCTTCTGCAGCTTTTAAGAGAGAGCATTGAGAGTAAATATACTTACCCAAAAGTACAGATAAATTTCACATATTTAAAACAAACAGTCCACACATCATCCAGGAAGTTGCATCATGCAAACTTAATATTTGTACGCAAAAGAAATATTATAGGCCTAAAATAAAAATGCCAAAACAGAAAAAAGGAGAAAATTTGTATATAATAATGTACTGCAGAATCATCATTGTTTGTGGAGGACCAATGTTAATACATATTTTACATCGCCACGAATGATTACAAACTATCTGTTTATTGAATCTTCTATATAAATGATTTCCCAACAAAATAACATCCCCACGACCAGTGAAATTTTAGTACCCTCAAAATGGAAATGATTCCACAATATAGATGTACAAGTAGCACAACAGTTAATGGAGTTCAGTTTGATTGTCCATTTTCTTGCATAATACAATATACATTGTAAGTGTTTTAAAGTACATGTATATTCTTGTAATTTTCACATCACTAGCCACTGAAATTTCCTTTTTAAATGTTATAATTCAATGAACAGTAAATGTGTTCTTAATTTCAAAGTAATTGACATTAAGAAGCAATTAACAAACAAAATTTGATCTAGGTTTCATTCTCACTACAAGGACATACACAGTAATTAAAAATAACTGAATCAACAGTAGTTTTATTTCTTGATAACTAAAGCTAACCATGTTTTGTAAAGAATTTTTGATCTGGTGTAGGAACTTATTGAGGACCTGAAGAAGGCAGAAGTGAAAGTGGAGGAGGAAAAGAAGCAGAGGAAGGAGAAAGGGAGGAGGATGGTCATTGAGGAGGTCGAAGAAGATGAAGAGTCAGCTGATGAGGAGATTGTAATTGAGGAGGTGAGTGTAGAGTCAGTTGATGAGGAGATTGTAATTGAGGTGATGAGTGTAGAGTCAGCTGATGAGGAGATTGTAATTGAGAAGATGAGTGTAGAGTCAGCTGATGAGGTGATTGTAATTGAGGTGGTGAGTGTAGAGTCAGCTGATGAGGAGATTGTAATTGAGGAGGTGAGTGTAGAGTCAGCTGATGAGGAGATTGTAATGGGGAAGGTGAGTGTACTGTCAGCTGATGAGGAGATTGTAATTGAAGAGGTCAGTGTAGAGTCAGCTGATGAGGAGATTGTAATTGAGGAGGTGAGTGTAGAATCAGCTGATGAGGAGATTTCATTAAGGAGTAGGGGTGCAACGATACACTAACCTCACGATACGATACGTTTCATGGTATTCAGTTCACGATACGATACGTATCACGATACATGACAAGGTTAAACGTTCTTTCAAGTTTGTTATCATATATTTTTTTAAAACTTGACAGGGTATACCAAATGTTCATATTTTTTTTAAAATAATTAAAATAACATTTTGTTAACTTGAATTGGATTGTTAGGTAGATCGTTGAGTTGTGACAACATTCTAAACCAATGATGAACATTTACAGGGAACTACGGGGACCTTACCTAATAATCTTCCTTTTAAATTGGAATGAAAAAGGAAAACATTCAATTCTTTTATTCCTTTTATTTACGTAGAAAACCAGTTGTCATATTTCTCGTGATAATACGTTTTAGTCAACAAGACAGCGAATTTTCATCGAAATACACACGTGATGAAATATTGTGTATTACCAAAGAATATGTTTAGATCTAAAGGGTTTATCATTTGTCTTAACATCTATAACTTATAATCACATAAAGTCCTTCTCCGTGTTAAATCTGAGGTCTGTAAGATGCTGGAGATGAGTTTAACTGCCGTAAATGCGTTATTGGCGACCTCATGTTTTGCGAGGAAGCCATTTTGAAATAGTAAAGAAGGAAATAAACGCACAAAACGGATAATTCTGGACCGATTGAACCGAACCACGATAGCAGTTTAACGTATCGTGAATTGAACTGTGGAAAAATATACCGCGATATACCGTTAAACAGTTTATTGTTGCACCCTTATTGAGGAGGTGAGTGTAGCGTCAGCTGATGAGGGGATTGTAATTGAGGAGGTGAGAGTAGAGTCAGCTCATGAGGAGATCGTAACTGAGGAGGTGAGTGTAGAGTCAGCTGATGAGGAGATTGTAATTGAAGAGGTGAGTGTAAAGTCAGCTGATGAGGAGATTATAATTGATGAGGTGAGTGTAGAGTCAGCTGATGAGGAGATTGTAACTGAGGAGGTGAGTGTAGAGTCAGCTGATGAAGAGATTGTAATGGGGAAGGTGAGTGTAGAGTCAGCTGATGAGGGGATTGTAATTGAGGAGGTGAGTATAGAGTCAGCTGATGAGGAGATTGTAATTGAGAAGTGAGTGTAGTGTCAGCTGATGAGTTGTTTGTTATTGAGGTGGTGAGTGTAGAGTCAGCTGATGAGGAGATTGTAATTGAGGAGGTGAGTGTAGCATCAGCTGATGAAGAGATTGTAACTGAGGAGGTGAGTGTAGAGTCAGCTGATGAGAAGATTGTAATTGAGGAGGTGAGTGTAGCATCAGCTGATGAAGAGATTGTAATTGAGGAGATGAGTGTAGAGTCAGCTGATGAAAAGATTGTAATTGAGGAGGTGAGTGTAGAGTCAGCTGATGAGGAGATTGTAATTTAGGAGGTGAGTGTAGAGTCAGCAGATGAGGTAGGTGTACATGCAGTCACCTGTAGAGAAAACTGCTGTTAAAGTAATGATGTTGTGATTGCTGATTTAAGGGTACAAATTAGCTAAAGTATATGTTATTTTAACAATGTTAATATATTTTAATATTTTTGATATATTTTATGTCAGAGGAAAATTTTAATTACTATTTCCGTGCCATCAGGTTTGAATATTGTCTGTCTTTTAGATCTAATACTGTACACAGCTTTCAACTCAAGGCATAACTATGGCTCTGTTTGAGAGTACATATACATGTAGTTAATGAAACTTCAAATCTAAATGTAAAATTAATATCAAAGACAGAGAAAGATACAATGTAAACATGTTTTAAGATTTGGGGTTTGTTTTGTTTTCAGGAGAAGAGTTTTGAAAAGAAGAAGGAATCAGTCAGTGTTAAATCTCAGGAAATAAACAAAAACAAAAGTTCCAGTGTAAGCAACAAAAAAGAAGAAAAACCATTGGTTAATGGTTTTCATGAATCCTCAAATCAGAAAAGTGATAAAAAAGATATTTGGGAAGAGGAAGAAGTACCTTTCAAAGACAGTCAAGACTTTATGACACTAAAAACAAAGCCAGAAGTAGTGGAGAACACTAGTGAAAGTGAAAGTACACAGGCAGTACCTTCACAAAATTCCATTCAGCAAAGTGAATCTAGTGGGCCTACACCTCCAGAGATTGAAAATTCTGAAAATGAGAACATTGCCAATGCCTCATTAGAAGGTACACGGATAGAAAAGGAACCAGAGTCTAGTGGTGCAGTGGTAGCAAAGCCACCCGAGGAGGTGGCTCTAGTGAGACCAGTGTTTATACAACATCCATTACCTGGTCCCATTGCTAAACTCAGAGAGGAGGGGAACCAGTTGTTCAGAGAGGGTCAATATGGGGATGCAATACAGAAATATACTGAGGCCTTAAAGAGGCTCCAGAAAGGTACTTCTGCTTCTGTCTAATACTATGAAGTCACTAATTTTCATGGGGTTTGATTTTTGTTTTTCCGAGGTATGAAGAGACCCACAAATGTCTAACTGGAAATGCGATTTCTAACATGTATCACTAAAAAATTCATTATCAATTAATATTTACATTTCCAATGTCCTTGTCCTAGATAAAATTTCAAATAGTAAAAATACTTTATTTCTACATAAATCTACTGGTTCATCGATAGGAGTGGTGAAAAAAAAATCACGTGCGGGGCGGGACAAATAGAGACAGAAGCGGGGCCTGTAGCACATGAATTTGCAGAATCAAGAGCATGTAAATATAAGGAATAACTGTCAGATTTTTTGGTATTATGACGATGATCAATTGATTGGCTTGCGTGAAAATTTTATGCATAAACGCCTTTGGCGTTTATGCAAATTATCACGCAAGCCAATCGATTGATCACATCATGAAACCAAAAAATTAGACAGTTATTCCTTAAATCAAATCCCCACAAACTCATCTTTTTTCTTCAAATCACGATAATTTGACCCTACAAAGATATGTAATTTTACAGTATTTTTAAATCATGCTCAGTACATGTAGAGTGCTGTAAATCACTTTATTCATGGGAACTTTATTTTCAAGTAATCATGTGAAATGGTCTGCTCACGAAAATTTCTTTCTTGCATATTTTTTATCGATGTAGATTAGATACAACAGTACCCAGAATTCTTGAAAATTTTGACTTGCTTATAATTAACAAATACCTACATGTATCTCATGAAAGTAAGGTGTCTCAAAAATTTTGTGTTCTACAGTAATGAGAAAAATTATTTTGAAAGCTTTCTAGTCTGTCCAAGACAAGAAAAAGGAAATCTTGGCCAGAGAACCTCAGGATTATGCTGTTGTGTTTTGGAAAGGATAAGTAAATGTATTAATCTTGTGTAGAAAAAAAATACATACTGTAAACTAATTAAATGCATTTTTTTTCATAGAGAAAACAGATCAAATTGTGAACAAATCCTTGATTCACAGTAACAGGGCAGCCTGCTATCTGAAAACAGGGGATTGTGCTACAGCTGTAAAAGACTGCACCTCCTCACTAGAGCTGGTGCCACATTCTATAAAACCTCTGCTACGACGAGGAAATGCCTTTGAATTATTAGAAAAGTAAGTGGAAGTACAAGCATCAAGAGTTTTTTTAAAAAGGAGTAGATTTATGAAAAGGGAAAGCTTAGTATCATGACAATTTTTAAATTGCTATATTTAAACAATAAAATGCTTTCCAGTATGATTAGAAATGGCACTCAATTAATTTAAATTAATTTTAATTCTTTTATTGTTCACAGTTTCAGGAAGGCCTATATCGACTACAAACATGTTCTAAATATAGACAGCAGCATAGACATTGCTCATCAGGGCTCATCCAGGTAACAGACAGTTTTATTCCCATTTTATTTGTTGAGATTGTTTAATTTTTAATAAAATCTGTCCTTATAGTTCAAAGACACAACTTCCCTGTTGAAATGTATACAGGTGAACTTCTTTATTTCAAACACTGATATTTGGAACACAAGGGATATGTCGAAGTGATTTGACAGTCCCAACAAGTTTTTCTTTTATGATTTTTTACCCTCTTTATCTCAAATTCTCAGATATCTTGAAGCTTAATAATGGTTTCTTTGAGTTCAAGATAATGAGGTTTCACTGTAAGAATTGCAAGATTTTTTTGTAGAATAAAAATTACATTGTTTATTCCTCTTATGTGCTAAATTGAAATGATCTGGAAAAATTGTAAATTTATAAGATGTAATCAATGATGTCCTTGCCAGCTCTTCTTTTATATTCTTGTATTGGGTTGAAAAATTGCACAGTAAAATACACTGTATGCTGGAAAATCTTCTCTTGAATTTTAGGTGCCACAGTCATCTCAAATCAGTGGATGGTCCACAGTGGAGAGAAAAGCTACCTAAAATCCCTTCTGTTTTACCCTGGGAGATCCCAGACATAAGGACCCCAGAGGGAGCCTCAAGTGCTCCTCCCACATTGTCATCAGTTTCCTCATCATCTCAGAAATCATCATCCTCATCATCACAGCCATCATCAGCCACATCATCATCATCATCAGGAAACAAGATACCCAGTGATTCACCTACAAAACTTGTGAAGGAGGAGTCATTTGATGAGATTAAGAGCAGAGGGAATGAGCATGTGAAAAATGTAGGTATCAAGATGACACACAATCTACATTTTCTCAATAGTATGCTTTACATCTTATTTTGGTGTATTGAAAATTGAGTGAATCTGTATATCAAAAGACTGATTAGGGTAATCAAAAATTATATGAAGTGCTGTTTTCACATTGATTTCATATTAAAGAAATCATATTCTGGCAGAGATCATGAGTTACATGTACATACAGTGCGGTCTCGTTATTACTATGTTCATTTTGTCATGGTGAAATATCGTAATACCGAGGGCAACGTAATAAAGGTTCCAAAAAAAATCCATTAAAACATTGTTTTGAAAGCTTATATTATTAGTGATGGAGAAGAACTTTTTCCATTCTGTTTTCTTCTTCCATTCTACCTTAAATAATAAATATCATAGTTAAAACACTTTGACACTTTAATTCATTGTCAACTTATCTTGTAAATGCATATTTCTTCATGCTGTTGAACTCCTTTTGCTTTATTTCTAATGTATCGATCATATTTTGTAATAAACATAGGCTCTGTGCGTTGTTTCCTGCGATCCCGCCATTTTCTTTCACTTTAATTTGTACTTAGATAATGCAATCGTAAAAACTTAACTTAAAACAGTTTCATGTTCAATATATGTTCATTACTGAATAGACAACCAAAAACATTGTTTTATTTATTTTATCAATTTAAATTTATTTTAAATTAAAAAAAAAAAAGCAAACCTCAATTCCCTCAAAACAGAGTTTTACAAGATCTGATTACACAAGCTATAAGGGTATATGTCATAGTTCAGTTGGCCATTATCATTCCGTGTTCCTGTTAACACTTGTAAATTAGACCAAACCATTTTCCAAGCTGTTTAAACTTGACTGAGGTTTATTTTTTTCTTTAAAATAATGTTTGATACCCAAGCTGTCCATTAACACAGTGTAACGACGAACGTAATTACACAGTGGATTTAACATGCATCAGCACAATTAAATGCAAGTTTTCTTTATAAATAAGCTTTAATTTGTAACCAACCTATTGAAAATTAAGTAAATTTACAGAATTAAATAAACTAGAAGCTATAGATATGCACACTTTCAAAAGTTTTTCAATGGCTTCTCTACTATGAACCCTGCCTGACTTGTCAAAGTGCGATCAGTCAAGCGTCACTTATCACCCACCCTGTCAGACAACAGGTGTTCCAGTGTTTATTTAGCGTCTCCTAAAGTGTCACTTATTGATCAATACTGAATAAACATGGATGGAATTTTTTTTTGGTCAAAATTTTTACATCGTAATAACGAGTCCTAGCACTTTTGGACAACGTAATAAATGGTCCTATTTTGTATAGATTTGTTAAGAAGTTTGCTTTGAATTTAAAACGTATAAAGCATTCTATCTTATAAAACCATCACCGTAATACCAAGATCCCACTGTACTATATCATGTATATAGAGGGCATATGAATCACTTTCATTTAACTACAATTACAGTTGTGGTCATTTCTGAGATATAGGGAATTAGTGATTTGATTCTTGGAATTAGCCTTCAAATTTTTGTAAATTCTATTTCAGCACTTTCAAACCCACAATAGAGGAATACTTTTTATGTCAGGAATCTTCAAATAGATAAAAGACATCCTGGCCCTATTTCATGATATCCTATTAAATTAAGATGTTTTATTTTCCAGTCCAAGTTTAAGCCAGCTATAGAGTGCTACACTCGCTGCATAGAGTTAGATCCCAAACAAACCGTCAGTTACACCAATAGGGCGCTCTGTTACATACGAATCAATGAACCAGAGAAAGCGGAGCTAGACTGTACCACGGCTTTGTCTTTAGAAGAGGACAATGTAAAAGCTCTGTTTAGGAGGGCACAGGCCAAAAAGGTAATGATGGTCCTCAAATATACAGACAAAATGTATGAATATCATTTTTCAGATTAAATGTGCAGTTTGAGTTTGATGCAATTAGTGCAAGCTGATTACCTATATTTCATTTTCAGCTATACCTACTGTAAAAGCACTTATTTTCGCAGGGTCAAATTTTTCGTGTTTTGAGGAAAAAATATTGGTTTGCAGGGATTTGATTTCTTGGTTGTAGAGGTTTTGTAAGTTGTTGTACATGATTATATGTTCCATAGTTTACATTTTGTGGGGAACTTAAATTCATGGGTCCCTTCATACCAAGAACAGAACGAAAATTAACCCCATGAAAATTGGTGATTCCAAGTATTACCTATTAACTACATCTATTCTTATGTATGTATCTGTGGATTATAAGTTCTTGCAAGCTTTTTGTTGACTTATAAACTTTATATACATTCAGTGTAGATGTACATTATCAGATTAGCTGTCTGCTTGGAGTATTTGTAAGGAAAGCTCTGTTAAAATTGGCACAATTAAGAGTTCAGAATCAATGGTGACAGATTCAATGTGTGAAATCTTTGTAATGCCTTGTAAGTAATTTGAAATGTCTATTCTTTTGCAGATGCTTAAGAAGTTCAAAGACAGTTTAAGTGATTTAGTTCACTTACTACGAGTTGATAACAAAAATACAGCTGCCAAACGAGAATTAGAACTGGTCAAGGACTACTGGCGAGAGGTCAGGAAGGCTTATTTATTCTAAACAGGCTAACTTTAAATCATAAAATGTTTTGTATTTCAATTCAATGATGTAAGTTGAACATGTAAACCATTTCTGATGTCAGTGTGAAATGTGTAAACAATTCACACCTTCTCAGAATTTGTGTAATGTGATCATGTGTCAAATTAGTCAAACCTCATTATCTCAAACTTGATGGGACCAAGAAAAACTTCAGATATCCAAGGATTTGAGATATCAAGGGTAAAATACTTAAAGAGTGTGTGGTTGGGTCTTCCAAATCACTTCAATATATCCATGGTATTCGAGATATCAGTGTTAGAGATACCGAAGTTCAACTGACGTGTTTCTATCTAGTGATAGACACATATTGCTCAAATAGTGATTTATAAGAGAAAACATTTGCAAATACCTGTAGGAATGATAAAAAAGTAGTCAACATATGTCTGTTAAGATGTACGTGTGTTTTATTTTATAGGAATTAAAGTCACGACCCCCTCAAAGCTCCAGCAGTGATTCAAATGAAGACGAGGCAAAGCCATCCAAAGAAGATAAGACATCAAAGGTGAAAGGTCAATCATCAATCAATCAGAAGTCTTCTCAGTCCCAAACAAGTTCAAAAAGCAGTTTACCAAAAGCTAAACATCAGGAAGCTAGCAAGAGTGAAGAGAAGCCTGAGCCAAAGAAGGGGAAACAGAAAACCAGGAAGCGGATGGTTATAGAGGAAGTAGACTCAGAAGGTAGGGCAGTGTTGTTGTACTGTTAATATGTGTTAAATGTGCAAACTGTAAAATAGGAAGTATTTGAGTGTAGGAGTTGTGTCAGTAGTTTGTAGATGAAGTTTCAATTGTATTTAATCATAAAAAAAGAACAACTAGCTGTTTCTAATACTGTATACAGGGAAAATCTTGCTCCATCACCCTCAGTGCAAATGGTTGTATTTAAGACAGAGTGAATTCAAAGAGAACAGCATTACATGTGTCTCTTCAATACAACTGGGTTTGCATGAATTTAAACATGGCAAAATGGTTGCAAGTGTGTAAGAGCAAAAATAACATGGTGTGAAAACCAGCTATCTCCCTCCATTGACATGCTAGTAAAGAAATATATTAACTTAAAGTACATGTAATACATAAGCAGATATTCAATAAATCTGATTTTGCTACAATCATGATGTAATTATTGCAATGACTGGAGAAGTTATTTTCTTGTTTTAGTTGGAGTCGGATATGAAGTTAATGATGTATTAGATGTGAAGATAATGTAGAAAAGAATATTTCTTGTAAGAGTTTTAATTTTTTGAAAGCTATGATATTAATATTGTATATTTCAGAAAAACAAGAAGAGAAGAAACAAGAAACTCCAAAAGAGACACAAAAAGCATCAAATCAGCCCAATGTAAAACAAACAACCCACAGTCAGGAATCTGGTGCCAAGTCTAAACACACTGGTTCATCTCCTAGTCAACAACCTGGTGCCAAGTCCAAACAAGCAGACCCTCCAAGTCATCAAGAACCAAAATCTAAAAAGAAAGGCAAGAAGAACAAGTCAACAGTGGAACAAACATCATCTCAAAGATCTTCAGAACCATCATCAGCTACTTCAGAAAAATCCTCAACATCACAAAATTCATCTTCAAATCCGGTGTCTCCCAGCAAAGCCAGTCAGAAATCCAGTATTAAACCTACCAGTACCGGACTTCCGGTGGTGCCCCCGGCTGCACCAAAGTTAGAGAAGGCCACTCCGTACGAGTTCATTCAGGCCTGGAATTCCTTGAAGAATGTGACAGATACACAGCCCTATGCTGATTTATTAAGACAGATTCCTCCTAAAGATCTACCTCAAGGTAAAATTGACAATCAGAAATTATGACTCTCAATTTTCTCTGACTGGGGCCATTTAAAGGCCCCATTCCCAATTCAAAATATGTACTTTTTTCAAATGAATATGTTTATTTTCCCAAAATCATTTACTCCCCTAAATATAGGAACATCTATTTGGATATATAATAACTAAAATTGCTGATTGTGTCCTGTAAAGTTATAGCAAAACAGAAATTTATATGAAAACAAACACAAGAAACTTAAAATATGATGAGTTTTCATCTAATTATTAGGATTTTCCCAAAAGGTTGCTAATTTTCCTAATTTTAATGGCCCTGGCCCCCATCCCAAAAAGTAGTGTGAGAGCCCTGGAAATGTTGTGAATTAAACTCATTGATATTCATATATAACTTACTTGTAGTGATTACCTATCCATATTGGACATCTGCAAATTGTAAGACTTCCAGCAGGAAAGTGTAAATGCAGAATTAAACTTTTAAACGGGAAATGTTTTTGTTATGTCTGTAAATATATGTTTATGTTGTAAATACAAATCAAATACATCGATGAATTCCAGAGCCTCCCTTACGAAAGATGTGGGGTATTGCTATTTTGCAGAAAGTTTCCTTTTTCCAAAAGCAAACACTGGTCTTTGTACATGTGCAGTGTTCCTCTATGAATTGTTGTACCGGTATGTCAATTTGGGAAATGTATATTGTAATCTGTGTGCTTTTATTTCTTTCCTGCAGTTATTAGCAATAAACTTGATGGGTCAATGCTGAACAAAATCACCAAGTGTGTGGCAGAGAAATTCCTCACCCAAGGTATGATATGTATTTCATTGACAGATAAAAAACAAATTTTAGCCATGTACAAAGGTCAAGAAAGACAACTCTATTGCAAACAGATGTTCATAAGAAGAGTTACTTACCTTGATACATGTTTAATCTATTCATGCTGGAGATTCTTCATTCTCTCTCTCTCTCTCTCTCTCTCTCTCTCTCTCTCTCTCTTTTAGTGTGGTTATACCCACAATGCCACTTGGTGACATGTAACAAAGAGTGCAAAATCTATCAAGTCATTTTGATCAAGATACTGGCAGTACATTTTTAACAAAAATTTTTGTAGGCCAAAAAACTTACTCTAAAAAAAAAAAAAGAATAGGGCATTACATTTTATAAAACAATGGTAGGAGGATATGGAATTAAATGAGTTTTTTATTTGATATTTCAGGTGATCTGGATTTGAGCTACAATGTTCTCCATCATTTAACTAAGGTTCCCCGATTTTCCACAATAGCAATGTTTTTGTCTCCAGCTGAAAAGAAAGGTAATTACTGTATTCATATAATGGGACATGTGTAAGCTTAACGATCACCTTCAACTTTGTTTAATTGCTATCATGTGTTTTAATAGTAAATTTATTACAGCAAGCTTTCAAATTGATATCAACTGGTCACCGTAGCCCAGTAGTGGGGCGTTCACTTGATGGTCGGGAGGTATCGGGTTCAATTCTCATCCCTACCCTGCATCAAACCTAACTTAGGTAGTGACTGTTCCTTTGCCAAGCACTCAGCATTAAAAATGAAAATCATAGGTCTTTCAGATGAGACCTTAAAAACCAAGGTCACATGTCATGGTAGGCGTTGGCATGATGAACCCTCACTGCTCAGTGGCCCTGAGTGTCAAGGAAAGGTCTAAATTTGATGCCCTTCACCGGTATATACATGTGTACATGTATGGTAACATCTCATATGAGTGAAAAATTCTCACAGGGACATAAAACAACAAACAATCAATCAATCAGATTGACATCAACTTTCATTGAACTTAATCTTGTCTGTTTGAACACCTGTATTCAGAGACGACTTATTCTACATGTATTTTACTTTGATGTCAGAATTAATTCCATTACATTCATTTTGATTTCTTTTTCAGATATCCAGACGGTCATTTCAAATCTACAGAAATCCCCCTCCGGTCTCTTTGGTAACAAGGAGTTGTCCAGTCTGAAGAAAGAATATGGTCTTTAATTGAACAAGCAATTTGAAAATTATACAGAATGAGTGTTGAAATAATTTCTTAATTTTTTTTTAATACTACTATTATTCAGGTAAGGTTTTGACAATTTGTGTGCAAAAAATTTTTTCACTGAAAATTTGGATTTTACATGTAATGATATGCTGATATTTGAAAATGATTGTTTATACAGTAAAACTTAACTAATCCGGATGTTGTGTATTCTGAAATCGTGTCTTATACGATGTCAACTTTAAGTCCCATTTAGTAAATTCAGTTGGTTAAAATGTTGTTTAATCTGGAATGTTGTCTATTCCGGCCAATTTCTTCGGAACCATTGGTGTCTGGATTAGACAAGTTTTACTGTGTATAGCTTGCATATACATATTTTTACATGACTGCACTCTTTAAAACACGACTGCACTTTTGAATCTGGTTCATGTGTGTTAAACATAGACCTTGAACTGACATAATATGCATTGTTTGTTATAAAATTTTTCTATATATATATCAAGCTGTAGAGAATGCATAAGAAATGTTTTAAATGATCCAATGTTATGCAATCTGTAGAACTCCCCTGTGAATCATTACGAAAAATTATGTGCTTATTTGTAATTGCTGTTAAGAGTTCAGATTTTTTAGAATGGTATAACTTTCTGTGATGTAATTATGAATATAGTGTGCGGTTGTTACAAATGCTGCTCTAATTTTATGAGACTGTTTTTTCTCTCAATTTTTTTAGCTTCACGTACCTCTCTAGAGAGAACACCGCAGGTGTTTGCCATACTTTATCTTATTCATGTGTGGTATTTACTGTCTTGGCTCGGTAATTACTTCCCTAATTAATTAATTAATTTCCATATTATATTTCTTTTGTTCCCTTCATCAGAGTTGTCTTTTGACATTAAATTTTTTGAGACAATGAGTAACATCAGAAAAACTCCTGGTTTTTAGGAGCATAATGTTTTTTCCCCTGTTTTGTTTTGTTGTATTGCTCATTTTCACACTGTTTTAGTAGATAATTGTCTGTTAAGATGTATTAAATGTAAGAAAAAGTGTCTGTCACTTCTATAATAAGCATATTTACTAACGAATTATTAATGGTTATGATTCATTTAAAAAAAAAATATGTATACAAGTTTTGGTTGGATTTTCAATTTGTTGATAAAAATACAATACTGTGATAACACTTTTTATTTTGTGTTCCATACAACATATATTCTTATTGGAAAGCAGGTTCTGTATTAAATAAGAATAAGATAATATTGAAGATAAATTATATGTATGAAAAATTGCTTCATGAGTCCACCTCAGTGAAAAATCCTTATTTTCAATTATTGTGAACATCTTCAAGTCTGAGTTTGTTCATTAAGGAAGTGAGAGAGGACTTTATACATTTATTTTCATTTTTAACAAATTAATTATTATGGTTAATTGTCAGCTTAAACAACATGGTATGATGATACATTTTATAATTTATCTAATTTTGACATGAAGTCGAAGATATCTTGAGGGTCATTTTTGTAATTATCAAAATTCATTTCACTCCTGTATGAAATGTTGGAAAAGCATTCTCTCTTCAAAAATGAATTAACCTTTAGAAAACATGCACATTCATTCATTCATTTTGTTTTATAAAATTTCAACAGGAAATACCATAGTAAGGATAGGGTCATCATGATAATTAATGATTGTAAGTGTTCATATAAAAAAAAATGTGTTGAAAAGCATAGGGGATTTTTTTTTCTCTTTTCAATTAGACCAATGCAGGATACATGTACATGTAGCATTTTCACATTTGAATTTGAATCCTAAGACATTCAGAAATTTCACAGAACATTTTTGAGTGTACATACAGTTAACTATATGTTCAAAGGTAAAAATAGTTATTACTTAGCTGTGTGGTTCATTTAAATGTCAACATTTTTGTACTTTTGTTTCAATGTTACTTGAAGATTCTTTAGTTATATTTTTAACAACTATGTTATACCCATATCTGTTTGCTACTAACAATATGTGATATAAACTTTCAGGTGGACTTGCATGTTGAATGTCCCAATATTGAATACTTGAGTGGCTTTGGTATTTTTGACAATATTTATTCTTGTTAAATGGATTCTCAAAAGGAATTCTTGATTGGAGAAAAAAGCAATATTTTTTTTGAGGGAATAAAAGTTCTATGAGGAGTGTGTCTGTCTGTCGGTTTGTTGTCACAATTTGCCTTGTGTTCATCTTTTTGTCATATCATAGAAAATATTGTCTTTGAATGACATTAAACATTTAATCAAGTGTATCTGTGTTTGATTTTGTTATTCAGATGTCTAATTTCTATTGTTAGTGTAAAGATTGGTTGGTAACTTTATTATTGGAGCATGGGATATGTACATGAAGCAGCTGTGCACATTTTTAAAGGGGAAGGGATGGTATTTTTACCGAAGTCGAGATGAGCTTATGATGTACCGTCGGCGTTAGCGTCGGCGTCCCGGTTAAAGTTTTAGGAGCAAGTCCCATTCCCAAGTAACTATAAGCCCTACCTGGACCAAACTTGCGTGTATGATGCATCTAGGGATGGACACTACCACACTTGCTTTGGATGCTGGATCTGACCTAGATTTTCCAGATGAATGACCACTGCAGGTTAAAGTTTTTGGAGCAGGTCCATTCCCAAGTAACTATAAGCCCTACCTTGACCAAACTTGCATGGATGATGCATCTAGGGATGGACACTACCACACTTGCTTCGGATGCTGGATCTACCTAGATTTTCCAGATGAATGACCAGGTTAAAGTTTTTGGAGCAGGTCCATTCCCAAGTAATTATAAGCCCGACTTTGACCAAACTTGCATGGGTAATACATATAGGGATGGACACTACCACACTTGCTTCGGATGCTGGATTTGACCTAGATTTTCCAGATGAGTGACCAGGTTAAAGTTTTTGGAGCAGGTCCATTCCCAAGTAACTATAAGCCCTACCTGGACCAAACTTGGATGGATGATGCATCCAGGGGTGGACACTACGCTTGCTTCGGATGCTGGCACTGAGCTAGATTTTCCACATGTGAGACCAGGTTTAGATTTTGAAGCAGTCCCGTTCCCAAGTAATTATAAGCCCTACCTGGACCAAACTTGCATGGTTGATGCATCTGGGGATGTACATTAACCAACCTGCTTCGGATGCTGGATCTGACCTAGGTTTTCTACATGAGTGAATTTTAGCCATTTTTAAACCAAATTAGCATGGATGATGTATCTAGGGATGGACACTTCCAGACTTGCTTTGGATTCTGAATCTGACCTACATTTTGCAGATGATATTGTGGCCTGTTATGATTAAACTTGCATAGATGGTGCATCTAAGGATGAAAACTTCCAGACTTGCTTTGGATGTTAGAAATGACCACAATTTTCTTGATAACTAAACAGGTTAAAAGTTTATTGAGCAGGTCTATTTCCAAGTAACTACAAGTCCTACTTAAACCAAACTTGCATGGATACTGATCTTGGGATGTACCCTTACTAGAAAAAAAAATGTGAAATTTCCTTACTTATAGATAACATTCGTCGAGGTGAGCTTTGTAATCTTTGATTACCTATGTTTATATTATTGTACATTTCCCTGGACAGTATTACTCAAGGGTGGATTCATGGGTTTTATTCTCTCTCTCTCTCTCTCTCTCTGATTTTATGCTTGATATTTTGCTTTGCACCAAAGGAATTAAAGTATACATGCACACTATTGAAAATTAATTGTTCTAGAATGAACATTAGAAATATCAAGTGATCTTCATTGGTATGGTGAACAAGTATTATGCAGCAGTGGTGTCTTGGGATTTGAAGATTTTTATTTGGCTTTGGTTTGTGTCTTATGTGGTTAAAATAATATCTGGATTTCACAATTATTTACGCCTCAAAATTATTTACGCATGAGCTTTTTGTCAATATCACGAATTTCACGCAGTCTGATACATTGTAGATAAATTTCATAAATTTTAATATGAAAAAAAAAAGAAATTGGGGGTTCTTTATTGATGAATGCAAAAATGCAATCTTATGACAGTTTTCATGAAAAACATTTATTAACATCAGTCCACAAAGCCTGTTAGAATTTTCACGCTTTCGATTGACAGCGAGAACGGTTTCTGGTCACGTGATGAATAGAGTTCAACGCACAAAACAGTTACTTTTCAAAGACTGCCACAATGACTTTGTATTATATTCTTCACAACACAAAGAAAAGTTTGGTATCGTTTTTAATTCAACAATGAGCATGTGCCTTTTTAGTCACATCCTTGTAATTGCTATATCTTAATTCGTACGAAAATGCATTCTTAAGCATTGTAAAGAATAAATTATCTTACTATTTTGATCCTACAAAATTAACACAGTCACAACTCTGATTTATGCAGACAAGACATTAGTTTCAAGAACAGAACATATATTAAGATTCAAATATCTGAAGTAAAAATTTATTTAAACAAAATACTATATTAATATGTCTCCCTCAGAACACGAGCGATTTATTTGATCAAGTATAAGGTTCACATGTTGCATATGCAGTACAATGCATGCACATGCATGTGCAGATACATGAAGCAGGTTGCTTCACGTGTCTTTATTGCCTGAAACAAGCAGAAATATTAGCCCACCACCACCCTCCAGAAATCTCCAATTTATACTTATCTCTCAAATGCTTAGCAGTTATCTTGCGAAATTTGCATAAGATAACTCTGGATGTACTCAAATGATCTCCCTTTGAACGACGCAAGCACAACGTTCATTGGAATAAAGCTAATGTAAATGTAAGGAGTCGGTGACGAGATGGCGAGAATTCAGTTTGAAAAACACATAAAGTACTGTTCAAATACTACAAAATTTACCTGATATTAAGCCCATCAAAACTAGCTCGATTTTGTTAAATGTTACAGAGATTTATTGTTAATGCATTTCAGTTTTTGCAAATTCACGTAGTATATTGCCAGGAAAGGTAAACAAAATAAATTTCATAATACACTTTACGTTACACTTAGTCAGAAATGTTATTTTCAGAAATATATGGCATCAAAATCGACTGAATAATACAATGGAAGTTTATGTCTATTATGAATTTTTGAGGCGAATTGAATTCTCTCTCTCTCTCTCTCTCTGTAAATATTTTGTGGACTGCATAAAATGACAAGTGCTAGAATTTAACGAATTAGAAAGCATTTCATTTCAATAATGTGTGTGAGTATTAGTAAGTGGGGACTGATAAACGAAATGCCTTTAACTGTTTGGCTCCTAAGTTTAAAGTACATTTGAATGTTACACATTTCACATTAAAAGTACTGGCACACAGCAAATAAGGTATTAGTAATTTGGCAATTCATGGAGAAATTTTTAGTGCCAAAGAGAGAGAGAGTCTAGCGATAATTGTTTCAGGAAAAGAATGTTCTTGTAGAATATTGCACAGCATAGGGGTCTTGAGACAATCTTGAGCAAAAACTGGTACATGTATATAGTGTAATAGAGTGTGTTTTATACTATAACCCAGTTTTTGTTCAGAATGTCTCAAGACTTTGTGGAACATAGTACCAGTACTATAATGTACAGACGCGTACGTAGCTGCCTATACGCAAGTCCGTACACATTATTCCCCCCCCCCCCCCCAAAAAAAAAGGGAATGAGAGAGAGAGAGAGAATATATATTCTGAGAGAAAAAAAATAACATCCAGTAAACATTTTTGTTTCAATTTTATTTTATTTTATTCAGTTTTATTATTTTTTTTGGGGGGGGGGGGTCATATTTTTCAGGTTCAAATTTCATATTATCACGTCTATATAATCAAATCCAAATAAATCATTCATTAGCATTTAATTGTTCTGTGGCACGTTGGTAATGTTTTAAAAGATCTTTGAATTTCGTGAATTTCAATCATGAGGTTGAATGCTATGATATATAACTTAGTATATGATTTAAAATACTATATTTTTTGTGTTAATAACATTAATTTTATTATACTTGTTTCTGTCCATTAAAAATAGAGAAGACGATTCCAAAATATTGATAAAATATTTAGTGTCCACTACATGTATACCTGCAGTAAGTCAATGGTGAATTTAGAGGGGGCTGGGGTCCCCGTCCCCCTAGCTCCCCCTTTTCTGACCAAAAACATAAGATTAATGAATCAGTCTTTTTGTGTTGGATATTGCATTAATTATACCTAAAATAGAGCTAATATAAGCCAAAACACTGTTCCAAAAAACTCCTGAAGTCGGAGAGCATCACAAAGACCTTATTGCGGACAGATGTACAAGTTCTCGGTTGTTTTTTCGCACTAAGAATGTTTAAAACTGAAAATTAATTACCAAATGAAAATCTTTTCCATTTAAAACTGTAAGATATTTTACTCGTTAGAGCTTAAAAGAAGGCAAGTTATATATATATAAATTTACAGAATGATGTATTTATCCTGATTTTCAAATCTAACACGATTACATATCACAGGTTTGTGTCATTTTGATATCCTCCCCACCCCCCCAAAAAAAGTACAACATAAAACAAATTAAATATTCCTTTAACAATTTTAAATGCTCAACAACCTTGTTTTTATTTATTTTTCTTGTGCATGTTTTGCGCTGGTGCAGAATCTTGGATTGTGGAGTGTTGCAATGTGCAACCGTATACATGCAGGCGTAGGGTCTACACGTGTTGGCACAATCTATATGTAGAGCACCTTCATTTTACCTACCGTTAACAGAATCTCAAACACAATGTAATTCATTTTGGAATGAGTACAAATGTATACTAATACACATACATACAACTATGTCAAAGGTGCAAACACGTGAAAGAAGCAATGACGATCAAGGATGAAAGAAATAAAACAAGAATAATGCCAAATACTTCAGGTTATGTTTAAAAAATATTTTAAACAGATGTTTATATCCCATTTTTATTTACCAGAACTTGTTTTGTATAATATTTTACTGTATGTTTAATTAATATATAAAAGTCATGTTTATTCTAAAAGAACCCCTGATACATTTACATGTGTATTTTAAAGGGAGATGAAAAGTTGAATTAAACAAATTTTGAAAAATTGTTTTCAAATAATTCCTACATTACCTCTTCCTTTATCACTTCACAATAAGTACATGGAAACTTATAAATTGCATGTACTTCCTTTCTTGGGAATGCAAATTTAAAAAAAATTAATATACAGAAAAATATTGATTACATTTTTGAAATACACAACTACTCCATTTCCTCTGGAAGAAAGATATGGGCTCCATCATAAAAAAGAAACATCCAGTATGGGTTAAAACCGCTTTTCATCGGGACCGTTTAGACCATTCTGTAAAACGTGCATTCCCACCCCACCCCTTTTTTTCATGTAAAAAGTTAGTGCTTCTAAACGCATATGATTAGACTGCTACAGTTTGTGGTGCATTTAACTGATGGCTGTTATTTTCTAGTCTAGAATGATTCATTAGAGATCTGAATCGATGTTTTGGGGTATCCAAAAGGGGAAAAATATATAATATATGAGTGGAAATCACATGTATGTTCTGCATAAAAAGGCGTCTGTTTCTACACACCTTGAGAGATTATATATGGAAAATATAATTATACGTCATCGACATTAATTATTTTTATTAAAGATGCAAAAATAGTAATATCAAACCGCAAAACTTTTAGAATTTTTATTTTTCACTCCCCGCCATGAGTATGACCGGGGCATATAGTGTTTGTCATGTTCATCTTTCGTCCTCCGTCTACCCCCATTCGTCTGTGTGCCCGTTACACTTTGCGTTTCTTTCAGTTTCAAAGAAACTGATCAAGATGTCTGAACCAAAATTCATACACTGATACAAATTAGTGAGAGCTATTCAACTGTAGCATAGTTTTCTGACCTTGACCTTCCCTGTGACCTTGTCCTCACTATTCCCACGTTGTGCTTAATTCAATTTCAAAGTTACACGGTATTCATGATATTCTAATCAAAACTCATACACTGGTACATATTGATGAGAGCTATTTTAACTGTGGCATAATTTTCTTCCTTATGACCTCGACCTCACTATTACTTAATTTGAGTTTAGCACAGATTAGAAGTAACTATTCAAGACATTTTTATCAGAACTCAAACACTGATACATGTATATATATATTGTGGTAGCTATTCAACTGGGTCATAACTTTCTGACCTTGACTTTCCATATGAACTTGACTCACTATTCTCTATTTTGTGGTTTTTTTTTTTTCAATTTCAAAGTAACTATTCAAGATGTTGAATCAGATCTCAAAAACTGATTCAAACTATTCAACTCTAGCAAAATTTTCTGGTCTTGACTTTCCGAATAACCTTGACCTTACTATAATTGCTTAATTTGCATTTAGCACAGTTCAGAAGTAATTATTCAAGATATTTTGATCAAAACTCATACCTGGTACACTGATAAAATTGGTGGGAGCTATTCAACTGTTTCATAATTTTCTGACCCTATATATGATCTTCCCTGTGATCTTGACCTCACTATAACTGATTTTGAATGTAACACATTTTAAATATGAAACTGTTCATTAACTTTTCTTTAAAACTCATAAACTGTTACATATTGGTGGAAACTATTCAACTGTGATATAATTTTCTGACTCTTTGACCATGACCCCACTATTTGTCATATTACATTTATCTTAGTTTCAAAGAAACTGTTCAAGATGTTTACATCAATCTTCATAAAATATTTTTGATCTTGACCTTCCATATGACTCTGAATTTCCATATGACCTTGATCTCACTATTTATTGCATGTTTTGAGTTTAACACAGAAGAAACTTCATCAAACTTCATTTACTGAATAAATACAATTGTTGAGAGCTATTTAAATGTGTCATAATTTTCTTAGCTTGAACTCACCTATTACCTTAATTTCACTTTTCAAAATATTTTCATTATACTAAGTTACATATTGGTTAGAGCAATTAAATTCTTTCATAATTTTTTTACCTTGACCTTTCTTATGAATGTTACCTTCTCAGGGCCCACCACTTTGATTATTTGACGTAATAACCATTAAGACTCCGAGCCCCCCCCCCCCAAGGCAAAATATAAAAATATGATGTCTTTGCACTATTATATTATTTTAAGGAATAAATTTAATAGCTACCCAATTTATAAATACGGTATAAACTGGGTTGGGGCAGCTTACGCTTTATAAACCGTGAAAAGTTTACACTTGTTTATGTGTTCAGTCTTCATACTGGTCTTTTTTCCAGAAAGGGGGAGGGTTGAACAATTTCTTTTTAACTTCCATACTTCCAATTTTGTCAAAGGATCAAGCAAACAGTCTGCATGAATATTCAAAATTAATCTCCGGCGGAACAATCGATGACGGCTTATCATTGTTAATTAAAACAATGCAATTAGAATTTAAAAAAAAAACTGAGGTTTGATACTTGGCAAGGTAGTCAAATAAGACTAGCGTCTCGTCTGCTGCTTTATAGGTGGCCCAGAACTGATGACCCAAACAACTTCAAGGATATAACGTTACATAAGAATAAAAGACAAATGTCAACACATATGTATGCATTATGCAGAAAAACCCTATCGTGAGAAGAAAATATAATTACATGTACGTATATGCATATCTATTCGACAAAATAGGGCATAGAAGTTGGACGACTTTTTTTATGCGGATTTGACTTTAATTCAAATTTTGTATTGAGATGGCATCGCATTCCCATAATATCTGAAATATTATAGAAAAATAAAAGAATATATATATACATAAATATAAATAAATAATATGAGTTTCTTAGATATATTTAACATATCATATTTATGGCACATGTAATAATGAGTTAAAATTTACAGAAACTATACAAAAAAATGCTGCTGAGTTGAGAGGATAGCGTGTAATTTATAATCAAGAATCCTGACACTTTAAGTTTATAAAAAAAAAAAACTGTGTTGATATCAACCCCCTCCCTTAAAAAAATTAAAATAAATAAATAAATTATAATTGATTAATTAATCAATTTATTAATGAATTAATAAAGGTATTAAATAAATGAAAGATCAATCTGTTTCATTTTTCATATTTAAAAGTAAGAACAGAGCAAAAAATGCATGATTTATATTTAATAGTAACACATTTTTGCTTATACTTTATTTCTAGCAGTATAAATTGATCGACGGCAACAAATATCTTAATTTTCCAGTCGGCGATTTTTATACAGAATTAACTGCATTGTGCCAAAATTGTGAATGGATTTTGATTGAGAAAAGAAATATTTGAAATGGTTTTTAATGTGCAGATTTTGGCACCGTATCTTCAGGTCTCCTGGAGACTCTGGGTCTCTATTGTCCCGAACCTGTGTCAAAAGCAATCCATTCATCTGGTTTCACATTGCAATTCAAAAACCACAACAAAAACTGTTTTTTAAAATCTGACCGTTTGATTAACCCGTCAAAATCTGGACAGGTTTAACAATGCCACCATTTGTCCATATTGTGTGTGGTTAGAAAAATTAGTGGTTAAGAAAATATGCTGAAGTATTTAAATTTTTATCAATGAAAAGAAAATGGAACTTGGGTTTGATTTTTTTTTTCAATCAGACACAATTGAATTTTAAGTGTTAACTGAAGCATTCTTTGCTTTCAGATTTAAAAAAATATTAATTTTTCATCCTCATTCATATTTCACAACTAACGGCAATATCAATGCCCAGGTTTACTGTCCCATAAATAGAAACATCACCTGGATTTTAAAATATACGGTCGAGTTCGTCTACCTTTATCGTGCCTCTCCTGTGAAAAATGGGAGTGAGGATCCAGCAATCCGATTGGCTGAAAAATCACGTGGTTTGTAAATTTCATTGAGAAAATTGACCGTCACATGGTTTTCATTTAATGCAACAACCCATGTGTAAACGTGGTGGATAGGAATTCGTAGCTAGGCCCCGTCAACACACGGTTAACAGCTGACGACCGAAAAAAAAAAACACGCCTAGTTAAAAAGTATATTCTGAAGAAAAAAAAATATACCGGGAAATATATATACTCTTGTTGAAGAGGATTCGCAAGTTATTCGAGGCGAGCCCTTGGAAACGGGCGATTGAACGGGGAACTCCCTCCTTATGACATGGTGTGCAAAGTTATAATTTTTTCTTCATGTTGAAATCCAGAACATTGGATAGTATGGGGTCAGATGGGGAAAGGAACCCTCAAGTGACCTCCGTGAAGTGTAAGATAGTGTTAGTGGGGGACTGCGAGTGTGGAAAGACTTCATTAATTAAGCGGTACATCAAAGAAAACTTCGACGAGGTAGGTCAGGCTTCTAAACTTCGCTCCTTAAAAATAGTTTGCAAATTATATATATTCAACATGTTCAATGTGCCAAATACAGTATAGAAATTCACATAGGTGGACGCATGTTAGTCTGCTATTTAGCTGCCGAACTGTATCATTATGGGTTTACATTTTAGTGTTTGACCATGGTCAAAGGCTAAAATATAAAACCATAACGTTACAGTTCTGCTGCTATCTGCTATAAATAATTGTAATGAATATAAAGTATTGTATAACCACGTGTACAAATGTTCTTCGTTTAATAAAACTGTAAGCTTAGCTGTATCATCGTGGTATTGAACTTTGAAAAATTAAAGGGATTGTCAGTTCACAGTTGAGAATTTAATCTTTAACCGCAAAAACTGAGATTTAAAAGAAATCCATATTCTTTTTTTTATATACACCTGGGAGTGTTGTACGTGCTGGTTATTTAATAGAGAACTTCAGTGAATGGGTTTTAAAAACCCATTGTTATCATTGACTCTGAGGGTGTGGTTAATATTTCACAGCGGTTGGTCGCAATTACGGTTTATATGGCTATTATCAGATTATCATCCAGGAGATCACAAAACCCCGAATCTTCTTTAAAACGGCCTTTCATATTTTTTCTTCTTCGTTAAATTCTAAAAATAGATCCGACGTAAGGAGTGGTAATAAATTCATGACCTGACATGCCTTTTAAAAAAAAATCTGCTATAAGTTATGCAATGTCTTTCACCTGTGTAAAACTTGCATTAATTTATTTTCACCGCGGAACAAGCTTAAAACTAGTGACAAAGTCCAATTCTGGTCTGTTCTATCTCTAATGAAAATGCCACAGTTGGTGGAGTGTCTAAATCTAGATTTTAATCAAAACCTTGAGGGGGTCCTAGCGCGTATATATACTTGATAGATAAAACGACATTTCAATGTGTATCTCTAGCGATCAGTAATTCTTTGGTTCCAACAAAAATCTCGTCACCTTGAAAGCTTACAGCTGTACATTTAGATATTTAAAGAAGAAAAAATCAATTTCGATGATTGATCTATGGTTGAAGGTTACATGTTATTATGAGGGAGATATGTTAATTTTTTCTCATTTTTTATTAATTTTCAAAATTTTACGTATTATATGTAAAATGTAAATTGCTATAAGTAAAAGGTCTATTGTCACATCAAAAGTATATGAAAGTATATGATTTTTCTTTGAGAAATTCTTTATTGCCCAGAAGATGTTTCTGGACCATCAAATTTTTGCATTACATCAATCTATACTTAACGTTTGATAATCTCGGCACCTGGCGAGGGATGAATGAAAGGTGTCTGAATACATTTTTATCGCTGTGTCAACAGCGCATTTAATTCACCGTATTCCGTTGATAATCGAACATGAGCTAACCCAGACAATGTCGGTTGCTCTTCTGACACCGTCAGAGTGAATGACCATAGATGGCTGTCAAATTTCCCCGGTAGGTTTTGATTGACGATTGGCATTACTGACCAGTTTTGACATATGCACAATAAATGGCAGAGAAAGACGTTATCTTGATAAGGCCAAATAAAAAAATATGTGTGGTTCCGGTTACCCGACCGTCCCTATTTTATCCCTCCGACCCTAACCTTTTTTTGGCAATTTTCATATTTTTTCCGGAATTTTCCCCAATTTCCATCAATGGCTCCGGTTTAAGTTTTAGTTTCAGCAATGACCGCCCCCTTGCACAACATAGTGCAAGTGTTTATTAGTGTTAAATCCAAAGCAAGCTAGCATGTAGGTGTCCCCTACCAATATTGACTAGTATATTATCACACCACATCTAAATGTCATTTGCAAAGTAGTGATAAGTATTATTTAGAAAAATTAAGAAAATCATTTTGTTAAAAAAAAAAAAAAAAAAAAAAAAAAAAAAAAAAAAAAATCCCTAGCTACCTACCCTAATTCTTTTGGAGGTGTAACCGGAACCACACATATTTTTGTGTTTGGCCTAATCAAATGTATGTTTGTGGTAATATTCTACATGAATGTATGTGAGAGAGAGAGAGAGAGAGAGAGAGAGAGAGAGAGAGAGAGAGAGAGATCTTCGAGAGAGTTTAATTTGAATTTTATTTTAGAAAGATCAAGAATTTTTCAATACATAGAAATTTTATGCTTATTTTCGTTTTTGTCGAAAAAAATCGCAATACAAGGCAGAAGAAAATGTTTGACAATTTTTATTTGTCTTCCAATGTATATGAGAATATATATTGTACATAATAATATTCGAAAAAGGTTCATATACAGAAATTTGACAGAGAATAATGTGGTATTACGGTACTTGAATTAATAACATGACAAACGATGAAGTTATGCAGTGAAACAAAGGTCTGTTCTATAATTTACATGAATGAGTGGTGAAGCAGGGGTTGTCATATTGTACAGGTTTTGTGGTCGGAAATGCGCTTCGTTCCACCACAAGCGTGGCATGAGGTGTGGACCTCTCATTCATATTTTTCTAGGTCATGCAAATGGAAATGATAAAGGAAAGTTAATACGTTGCAACTTTTAGACAGTGGTTGTTAAAATTAAGCGAAACATTTATTGGGTTTATTGCAAATGTGTAATACCACACTATGTGTTTTGTTCGCGGGGCAAGGAAGAGGTAAACGATTTAGAAAATTACCGTGTAAAAGCACGCTATCTTATTTATTTTCAATTAAATGAAAATATTTGAAAGATCACGCGATAATATGGGGGCGATCTCGTTTTACATTTCACGAATTCTTTTACCATTTAATTCCGGAAGCAAATTGATGCAGCGACTTAATTCAAATTGCAAATTCCTAGGACAGACATTCCACGCAATATGAAAGATGATGATATCAAATTCTGCAATTCTAAAGATTATTAGCACAAAAATCAGTCCAGAGTATGAACTTTTTTCCCTGACTTGAGGCATTTTTATGAAAACCTTGTAAGATGTTTGAAGTACCAATTAGTGAATTAGCAGACTACATGATCAATCGTGTTGAGAAGTGCCACAGGGACTTGTAAAATCAACAAATAAACATAGAACAACACGACAACTGCCATTAAACACACACGAACAGTTTCTTTTTTCTTAGAAAAGAAACATAACACTCGAAGGCATATTTGAAATGTTTCCGGAGTTCGCAACAAGATTTAGCAAATTGGCCATAGAAGTCAGTTCACCGTGGTCCTTTCATTGGCAGTCAGCAAAGATAAAATTGGTTTCTGAATCTGCCAGAGATATCTTAATTCGATACTGATAAGTAGGATGCTTCTTTAATTTGTCTGTTCTTGTCTAGAGTATTGCCTAGAATTTTAGCTCCCCCATTTCCTGTTGTGATGACGTCATCTTTGCAGGCTTTATATTTGAAACCTTTTGTCGTATTGTATTTTTCGATACCTATTATTCTAAAGAACAAAGTACATTTTACTTTAGCGTTTAAAAATATATACAATTTTTTTGCTAAACATAAACATGATAAACGGATTTATATAAATTAGCTTTGTATGGTAGGGCGTTTTCCCTGCAAAAGACAGCGGACCAATTGGCATGAAAAAACCAAAGAACCTCGGTAATGAACCATTAACAAAATGAAGTTAAACCCATTTCTTCTCTACGATAAAAAATGATAAACTGTTGACTGTTTGATCCAATAATATCTTTGATAGACACTATAAAAATAAAATTTCTCTTTTATAATCAGCAGAAATCGGCCGTAAAACGCCGTCTCGGAAAAGCTCGATTTGTTAATTTTCTGAGTCTGTCAGAGCTTGTGTGAGTCAGGGTTTGCTGATGAGAAGCGATGTGTCAGAACGATAAAACCCCCCTGATGTTCCGTCTGATAAAATGAATGTGTTTGCTCTCCTTGATATCAGGGAGCATACCGTTTCTATCTCGTGGGAATTCGACCTACTAAAAAGTGATACATTTTCCGCCAAATGTACCGATTTCCCAAAGGTTTTTTTTAGCAAGTTGTGTTTATACTGTCAATAAATATATACATGTATATATGAACATGATGAAGATATGCACGTGCGAAGAAATGCAAATATGCAGGGCGAATGTTGGAAAGATGCTTACACGAAATCTTAGCCGTTCTTTTTGTAGGGAGGTGGACTGCTAAGGAAATATATGTTTTGGATGCTTAATAAATCTGTTAAATGTACATACCAGCATATATAGCTGGGGACGATTCGTGCAAACAGACTATTCAGTCAGAAACTATATCGTCTATACACTTTTGTTAAATTATAATTGCACACCCCTTGTATAGTAGTTTTAGATTGTTATTTAAGCATTGAATGTTCATCAATGCATAGCATTGTGTCGTAAATTACTTTCATCTCATTTGTTAAACAGTTCATCATTTCGATTATGAATGCAGTCTTGATCTGAGTTTAACATATCTTTTTGTACTTTTTGGGGGGTGGGTGGGTGGGGTGTTATACAGTTATCTATTTTATTTTGTATGATTTAAAATAGTAAGAGTTTTCATTTTTCGTTTCAGATATATACTGCTACAGCTTTTGATACATATAACACGACATATCATGTTTCCGACACATACCGAATCCAGATGTCCCTTTGGGATACCTCAGGTAAATATATACACCTGTATCTGTTAGATGGACAGGATTTCAAAATCAGATACTCAATTTACTTCCTGTCTGCAATGTACTAACATTAAATACTATAACATTAGCGGGACACAGAAGAAATGCATGTTAGTTAGAAGACTGTGTTTCATTAGTATTGAGAGTCTTGTTTCACAAGAACTCATATGGCATGGATTCGGTGCTGGGTTTACAGTTCAAGGTCGTAATCTATAGGATACAGGTTGGGTTTACAGTTCAAGGTCGTAATCTATAGGATACAAGTTTCGTTAGTTCCATCTATGTTGTATGTTGTATGGTGGTCATTGTATTCAAAGAAAGAACGTGATTGGTATTGGTAAGGTAGCCTTTGGAATGACCGCAATATACGGGCAAAGTTAATATTTTCAGCTCCTCTAGCAAATGTGCTGACGTCTTCGACGCCAGACAAGATGTATTTCTTGATAACACATGACCTTACGTTCAAACTTCTAACATATCGACTGACTTTTTCATCAACCTTACTCGCCGATACCATCTACTACCTGTATTGCATATAATACGAAAAGAAACCCAATCTAGTCGAAAATACAGAAATCTCGCACAAGTCTCGTGCGTGACGTAATTCAAAACCTAAGGTTAAAAGGGTGCGGAATTTTCAATGGCTGTACCGCCTGAAGTTATTGAAAAAGTACATATTCTGTTGTGTTTTAACATAAAACTGTTTGAACCTTGTGACATTCACAATTTCCGCTACCTGGCTAACATTCCTGGGCTGTCTCCAGTCTTAATTAATGAGGTGGTAAAATGTTCTGATTGTTTTTTTGTATTATGCATCCAAAAAAAAAAAAAAGACACAGTTTCTAGGACATTCATGTTTCTAGGTAATAATTAACAATTTTCAAAACATATTGCTGTTAAAAAAATCTTATTAATATAATATGGGAAGGCATAGAAAATCAAACGCAAAAACACCTTTACTGAAATTCACCTGTTGACCTACATACCTGGAAGGATTATTAAAATTTGGCATGGGAATGGTTTTTACCTGGGGTAAATTTTGAAATACACACCAGTAAATCTGATTATAGAATTTGGATGTCATATTCATGCATTCCAATGTATTTTATTCTCAAAACTAATCGGAGTGACCGTCTAAAAGACAAATGCAAGTACATGTATATGTCAGCCATTGTTAATTGCACTTGGATAAAAAAAAGAAAATCCGGCTTATAATTTGATCCCAGGATTATCTATCACCACGAAGTACAAAATTTTGGCAAAACCTTGCCATTGACTAATGTACGACATGAACTCAAAAATGTCTTTGTCAGCTAATATTTTATTCAGACTATAACTACTTCGTATTAATTATATTCAGCAATGACGAAATATTTTCATCATTTATTAATTCAAGGCAGCCCACGCTATTATGTTAGAGCAAATTCCTGTGAAATTTTAAGATTCATGCAGGGACATTAGGAAGCAATGATGGTCAACACATCGAAGTTATTAAAAATTTACGCGTATATATTCGTTCTTATTATGAGGTGCAGTTATTTTGAATTGCCAAAGGCAATCAAAGCTTTGTAAGATGCATAGATTGCTCTTACGCCCTAAGGCCCCCTATTAATAAAGGAAGGAAAATTTATGTATAAATGAATGGCCAAATGTTGCAAATAATTGAGGAAAATGAAAAAAAAGAAAATCTTCTTTTTGTATTTCCATCGTTTGCAATCCCATTAATTATAAAACATCCTGCTCATATGTCTTCTGCCTACCCCTCTTTCCTCCGCCAACCAGCTGTTCTACTCAGTAATTGTTATCTTGCTTTACTGGTTAATGACACCAACAATTCACAGAATGGAATCATATTCTTTGTTCTCGGGTGTTAGGCATAAAATTAAAGCCATTAAGTTCTTCATTTCACTGGGCCTTTCGGTAGAGACCATTAACTAAAAAGAAAAATAAAAAATTTTATGCATTAAAATGATTTCGATCACTACAGAGTCGTCATGGTTTAATTTTCTTGGATGAACTACACTTGTACATATTTTAAGTTCTTGAGTATTGTTAACGTTGCGATGACTTTTCTATTTCAAACTCCAAATTTCAATAACGCACATATACGTTTTCATGATATTTTTCATAGACTTTGCAAGAGAGAATCATTTTATTTGTCTTGTTCCGAACCATGTCAAAAAGGCAGTTTGTCACTGTTCGTGTGTGGAAGATAATTGACTTATAAAATGTGTTTATATAGGTATACTTATATCCTTTTCATTCATTATACGTAGCTAGCCATTTGGAAATTTCGGCAGACACTAACAATTGTTAAAATGGGCGTAGTAAAAATATACCCTTTTTCCTATTCCTTTGAGAAAGGTTCATTCATATACGACAAAGAAAGGCAAAGAAAATGTAATGTCATTCTTTAGCGCTAGGTTTCTCTTCTTCGGCGGAGTTATGTATGAAATATGGGAGTGCTATTTGGGCGACTATTTGCTTAGTGCATTTTTATGGCGCTTGCATCGACACGTTCAAATTCTTTTTGCCTATCAAGGTATATATGTAAATAGTGGGGGAGGCCCTTGAAGCGACCATAAATTAAGGTCGTCTGCTTTTATATCTCTTTTGGACTTAAGATTGAAATTCAAAAGCTTTTGAAATGTTTCTGTTGGTACGGATGATTGTAAATCGAGATGGCAATGTTTTCTATGAATTGATGTGTATACGTGTATACGATTAATATGGGGAATATTCAGGGAAAAGGCTTAGAAAATTGTCTGAAATATGTGATAAACATTTAAAAAAAAAAACTTTTGACAATATTATCCTTTGAAAAACATTCAAGTGTCTTTGCAGTTTCTTACGCAAGTGCAATGCGAATATGATGAGATTTTTTCATTTGTCATGTTTATTATTAGAATGCGTTTAGACAAATTTGTGAAGTTTCAAATGTAAATATTATTATACAAAATCTAAAAGCGTGTTCCAAGGCCGATTACATCATGTTTAAAAATTACTCTCTTTGTTTTGTACAACAACTAGAACAGTTCGTGGTTTTATGATAGATCGTGGTAGATAATTTTTTTTTTTTTTGGAAGACATAATTTCATGCTAGTTGGTGAGAAGTTTATTTTTTGCATCATGCATTTTTATTTATAGAAAATTTGTGATTAGTTGATTAATTTTTTTTAAAAAGTTTGGCACAGTTAGAACAAAATGTTTAAATTTATGTATGAAATTCGTCTTGCAATAAATGGTATTAAAATAAGGTATGATCCTACGGCCGAACATGGTGTTTCTGACGAATGCATTTTTTGTACGCATGGATCACTTCACCTCGACTTAAACAGTCAGCTGTCTGGAACGGCACAACCCAAAACAAAAAGAAACCCATTAGTCCTAAAGTACATTTTGTATTGATAACTTAGAAACTAATATAAGAGAGCAAGAATATACGTGGGCTTGAAGTATCTCAACCACCTGTAAAATCAGTCTTAAAGAAATCTCCGTGTTCAATATCTGAAATAATGTCTCTACACTTGGACCTATCAGAAGAACGAATGCCAATCATGTTTTAGATGTGAAGAATTGTACGGAATTTGTAATTCCCCTTCAATTATTTGCTCAGCCAAATCAAAATACTTCGGGCAAACAAATCCATTGTCAATTTGGGGACTGTTAAGAATTCACTGAATTTACAAAAAAAATCAACTCGTACTTTCTGATAAAAGAGTCGACAGACATTTGTGTGATAAACTGCGTCGTTGAAAAACAGGTTTAGGAAATGTAAAGAAAAGAGATAGGCCATGGTACTGAACTTTCCTTGAATGTTAAAATCAGATGGTTGCTTACGCAGACAGAAATCAGGGATCTTAAATTGGCGATTGACGATGATTGATTTGTAGGTCCAAATTTTAAGCTTTTTCTTACATAGCCGCCTCTTGGTATTTGAACAATTCATTTGTTTTGCAAAGAAGTAGGTAGGGTTTTCGGACCTAGGTTTCGATGCAATAAAGGTGACGTTGCGGAAAGTTGAAACTAGGAAACTTTAACCTTACTAATTTATAATCCCCACACAGCAATATACATGTACATATATGTAATGCACAGTTTTTAACTGTCAATAAATATGCCAAGTTTCATCGATTTCTTTAATCTCTTACTTACATAATCACCACTGATATTATAATACTGACGCGAATCACACTCGAACATTAAACGTTATTGCTTATTAATTATATTTAAAATTTGATTTCAGGCTCTCATACGTATAACAGTGTGCGCCCTCTATCGTACGCCGACGCTGATCTCATTATGGTCTGTTTCTCAGTAGCAGATCCAGATAGTTTGGAACACGCAATCTCAAGAGTAAGTGACGTCATTTGTATGCACACGCAGTAAAAGCCATGTATTTCTAAAGAAAGCCTCATTTTTTACTATTCTTTTAATTTGCTTCTTTTTAGTGGTCACGTGAAGTCAGGGAACACTGTCCGAAACAGCCCATGATATTAGTGGGCTGCAAAACAGACCTCAGAACTGACCCCACAACGCTAGCAGAACTTGCCAAGAAAAGAACATCACCCATTATGTATGATCAGGTAGGATTCTAGTTTTATATTAATTACATTGTAACAATCTCGCTATGGTTGAGATCAGAAGCCTTTTTACTTTCGGTCTGTTTTTGGAAAGATATTGCGTACGTGTAACTACGTAACCATGCATGAAAATGAAAGGGGAGACTATTGTTTATTTACAAAAAATCTTTTTACAGGCTCTCAAGTCAGCAAAAAATATTGGAGCCTTGGTTTATTCAGAAATTTCTTCCAAGGATTCACAGCGAAGCGTGAATGACGTCATAGAAGTAGCGGCTCTGTCCTCTGCCGGAAATAAGACCACACCAGAACAAAGTCCCACCTTCCGGCGACAGAGGTCCTTCATGCGACGCAAACGATTTAGCGGGATTGGCGAGGCAAAGGTGCAATTACGAAAGGAAGCAGCCAAAAGTTGCTGTATCATGTGATTGAGTGACTGTGAACATTTCAAGAAAAAGAATCATGATCTCTGACTAATTTGAAGGGAAGATGTGTCCTGTTTCCCATAAAAGCTGACGTGCTTTGGCCACTGTTTTGCTTATTGCAAAATCTTTAATTTGTCTGTACATTGTTTTGTTACAATTCACAACGGCTTGCAGATGTGTTTCTTAACACTTAAGTCTAATGAAGATATTGCCTTGGACTCTGTGCTCTAATACTACAGATTGTATATTAAAATGGATGAACCCATTCAAAAGCATTGACCCAAGAACATTATACATCTTTTTGTTATTGACGTAGAAAATAAGTCATTTTCTTCAATTCAAGGATTAGAACAATCATTTATAAACTAGCAGATCTTCATTAAACTTCGAGCATATATTCATTGTAGTGCGAAGTGACTGTCAAAAATATTGACAAAATAGTGTCAGACATTGAGGAACTGTATATGCAAGACAAGGTGGTGCACACTGTTATTTGTATATTAAGGAGTGAGACAAGGGGGTTCTGTTTGCCCCGACTTCTTTAGGCTAGAAGAATTGCAAAGGTGCTAAAGTGTGAGAGAGAAAAAAAACTGACAACAGAAACAATTGTCCAACAGTTTGTCTTTCATATTTGTATATAGTATTGAATGCAAATGATAGATATTAATTTATTTTTGAGCAAGAGTGTCGTGTGTGCAATTTCTAGTGCGGTGTGCAATATTGCTCGCGTGCAGGAATAAATCGAAGATTTTGTTTTATTACACGGGAGGTGTTATATATTTGAACAAATTTGATACCTAAAAATAAATGAGAAACTTTATTTATGTGTTTGTTATATTGAATATGTGTTTTTTTTCCTTGGAAATAGTGCTTGTTTTATTTGAAAGGCGACATTCGAAGCAGTTAAGCTTACCCTCTCCCCTATTATCTGATATGCCTCAAGTCAAAGATTACACTATGGTATAGGATAGTGTTTTCATGTACTTCAATCGACAAACCACCTGTATAATTCTTCAAAAAACCTTTATCTCCTGGATCCGCCCCTGAATTTACGGACATGGTCAAGTACTTACGATTGATTCAGTTTTTCAAAACCTTCCACTAAAACGCTTAATGATACACGGTTGTAGAAGAAATATGTATGTCGCTAAATCTATGTCATAGGCCCTATATGTATACATGTACACGTACTCACTAGATAAAATTCTAACGCACCACTCAGTATTTTCATCTGTAATTACATGTAAGATATTTTCATTACTGAAACGAGTAAATTTAATAAACAGTTTTGCCCACTGCAATTGAACTTGCCGATGTCTTGGTGTCAATTAATACAACACCCTTCAAAGGCCTTCTTGCCCGCAACCCAATTTCCGGCAGCCAATTGGCACTGTTTGTACACTGTTCTGAAGTTGGCCGTTACCGATGGTTTGTCACTGAGGTTTGAAACAGCCTTGGTGTTAATGATTTAGAGCAATATGTCTAACATGTCGCCCGGAAGTCACCTAGCTATAGTACTTTGATTTCCGTACCCAGTCCACCACACTTCCGGTTGCTTTACAATCTTGCAGTAATTATGTGGTTTTTATTGGATTCCATATTCACATAAAGAAGGCATATTTGTATTCGTTGATTTAATCACAGCATGTTTTAACCAAAAGAAACAAAAAAAATTACATTGTTTTATTATTTTGAAAAAAAAAAATTCCAAAGAACACCCTGCAGACAACATACCATCCACCCTACTACGCTTTTCCATGGTCAAACACTGCATACACGGTCAAGTTTTTCTTTTTAATTTTTTAGGAACATGGAAAACTCAAATACAATGAAAAATTTGAAATTTATTCCTCCAAAAGGTGTGAGCACGATTTCCATCCAGGAATGGCACGCTTCAATTATAACATTAAAATTTTCGTATATCAGTTATGGCATTTTTAAATGCCTTTCTTTTAACTATGGTAACAAATCAAATACGTCTCAAGTTCAAATTCAAGCTCAAGTTCAATTGATTCGCCCAACCAAAGTACTGGTGCATGGTGTACATTAATAACATATGTGCATGTACAATATATTCAAAATGGTCAGAGGGACATATACAAAACAAAACAACCAAAAAAAAAAAAAAGGACAGAAAATAAATAAAAACTAAACAAGTTTTGAAGAGGTACAATGTAAATATTGATTTTATATGATGGTGCTTTAGCAATTTTGTTAAGTGTACATGTATGTTTTTAACACTTCATGCAATAACTCCGTGGGATCCGCTTTACATTGATGGCCTTGTCTTTTGAATTTTATCATTGAAGCAGTTTTCATCTCTTGGATGATTCAATAAGATATGTGTTAAGGTTTGACGACTTGTTCCTAAAATATCTATTTTCTTTCTCCTTGTAAAATATAAGATGGTTTATAAACTGTTTTCAAAATGTATTAGAAAATAACTACAACAAAAATTGTGATAATGACAATTCAAGTGATTTCAAATAGCATTATATAGGAAACACCCCCCTCTGGTATCTTGCACAAATGTCCGGTAAGGTACCTCAATTTTTTGTGAGGAAACTTGTTAAAGTAGCAGTGCTTCAGTGACAAATTTTTGGGAAAAATTATACATAATTGAGGAACGTGTCGTCTGACCTTAATTTTTTAAATAAATGTATATCTGCACTGTTTACTGTTTGGAATCTGAAATCTCACCGGCAAGGAAGACCAACTCTCAATTTGTGTGAAATATTTCAATAAGATGTGCCCTTGGACAAAATTATATTGTATTAACATAAATTCTACTTACTTTAATAGCTGACAGACTCTTTTTTAAATATGTTAAACGTTTTGTAAAGCATGTATGATACTGACTCATCAGTATGGAGTAAGTGCCCTCTCATGATGTAAACTAGAAGAAGTCATAAGGGAGTAATACCCGCACCTGTGTTTGCCTCTAAATGTACGCTAGCTCCCTTGTACCTTGGTAGCAAAGAAACCACAAAAGTTACTATACATAATGATATTTACATAAAATATATATACATGCATTTTAAGCACAGGTAGTAAGCATGACTATGTAGTATGACCATGAGCCTCTTTTATTATTATTCGACCCCCCATTTGGCCCCAAGGGTGAAAATTAAAATTACTAAAGCTTATTGTACATCTGCAGGACACCCAAAATCATCTTGCAAAAGATTTAGATAACTACTGTGTAAAATATTGCTTCCTGAGGTGAAAATGAAAATTTAAAAAAAAAAAAATTCTTAGTACGAGGAGAAAGAAGATAGTATGAGGGATGGACAGGTGGACAGACCAATTAAGATAACAACGCGAACTTTCTTTACCAAGTTCGGGTATAAATACAAGATTACCCGCAACGCAAAGCTCAATTACATGTATTTATAATTTCCGGAAATCTTGCTTTAAAATAGCTAAACATACATTAATGCTGGTATTTAAAAAAAACATTAAACACGCTTTGAAATTGAAAAATGTCTGTACGGTAATCGGTACGTGAATATCAAAACAGATGCAAAGAACTATAACTCCAAGAAGTACGTTAAAGTAAATGAAATCAGGGGCCCGTTTTACAAGAGAACTTACGACTAAGACCAATATTTAATTCCGCTTAAAACTTTCTATTTTTCATTAAACAGAAAATGGTTTTAATCTTTATAAAAGAAATGTAGAACGATATTTTTACATTAGCAATTTAAAACAGAATTTGTTTTCAAAAATTTCACATTTGATCTTAGTCGTAAGTTTTGTAAAACAGGCCCCAGAATACAACAAGAGGCTGATGAACCACAAAGCTCACAAGTTACTTTGGTCCTACTGTTCTTCACAAGATATTCTAGCTCCTCCCTAGACCCAAGATATCATAACGTACATATCCTAGATTGTTTCTTTATCTATATGACTAACATGGTCCTGTTCCTCTGCAGAAGAATATTTTTTTTTCCTGTATACATGCATCAGTAAACTTTTATCAGGGTCAGTAATAAAAAATAAATTTAACAACCCATGCGCGGATCTAAAGGGGGGAGGTCTGGACCCCTACCCGTGATTTTCCTAGTTAAAAGGCTATCTTTTTCCTTGGAAAAATGGGAAAGTGCCCTCCCCCTCCAGCGAAATACAGATTATGCCTTTCTATCGTAACAATTCACTATTTCTTGTAGTTATAAATATACATCATATTTTCAGCTTGTTTTTTCGGTTTTCCTAATATTCTATGCAGTTGAAACTAATTCATGTAACCTTTACACATTTACAAAGCCAAAGCTTTCCAGAATAAATCAACAACTTTAATTTGTTTCTCGTGTTTACTTCATTCTAATCAAATAAATCTCATGTCATAATAACTATTTTTATATAACTCCTTTATATAAATTTTTCTGATTAGTCGAAAACACCTTAAACTTAATGAATGTTTTGTACAAAATCTGCAAAATGTAAGGTAATGAAATATCCCCCCCCCCCCCACACACACACACAAATGGACGAATACGTTTATTACTTATCATCCCCATACGTTCTTTAGATATTTTAAAATTGCTTTAGTCAGGTAAGTTATTTGAAAAGCTATTATTTGTATCCAATAAATCACATACAATATATACAAAAGACATGACATTTGCTTCTTAACCCCCATCATCATTCAGAGAATTAAAATAACACCATTATGAAAAAAGGAGAATGGTTTTATCTTGTTTTTAAGATGAAGATGTTTTTATTTTTAATTCATTTTGAAAACTGAAATCATTTTTGAAATAGATACGGACATTTCACTTTGAACGTAAAACACCCGCACGTGAAAAATTATCGTTCTTTGTAACTATATCAAATAATTTCATAAAAAGTATTCCTCTTCTTTTACATGGTTAGGATAAAATTTAATAACATTATGATAGATCTAGAAAGAAATAGTGATCATTCTAATACTGATATTTCCTTTATTTTTCCCTTAGTGATTAAATTATATCATCCAAAATAAAAACTAAACCCATAGAAATGTTTAATGTATTACTTATTAATGTATTGTTTAATGTATCATTTCAAAACTGATATTGACTCTTTGTTACAGGTTAATGAATAATTATTTTCGGTAAAAAGAAATAGGAACAACAGCAGTATAACTCATGCTAGTATGATTAAGAAAACGGAACACAAATCTAAATGCACATGCTTCTGCATATATAAAGCAGTATTTGTGGTACATGTATCTATAAAGTAGATATGGTTTTTGAATCATTGTTAACGTGTATAAGACATTTTTATCTTTGCAATGGCAAAAAACCAACGATTTTAATGACATAGAATTTTACACTCCATTGATTTCTGCTTCATTGTCTTGAAGCTGAACACGACTCATAAATAGGCATATGCCATTTTCGAAATAATATTTACGATATCAGCACCGAGGTATACTCTTCGCCTTTGTTACGCCTGACTGCTTTATTGTCACGGGTATCGGCGTGGAATGGCGACCCGTGTTCGTGCTGGTTATCTTGCATTACCTTTGTTTACATTTTATTGCAGTAACGTGTATTTGTGTTTGTTTGTATACTGCACTGACCTGTGCAAGTGTTGTAAGTTTCTTTAGTATCTTACTCTCCTGCATTAGAAGAAGTTCACACTAGTTATTTTTTTGTCGCCACCGAGTGGTGTATAGCATACGTCCGTCTACATCAGTAACGACTGATTGCACTGAACAGTGACTAAGTGAGCGGATTTATAAAGGGGCCCTCAGATATAGCGAGAGACCAATCGAATATGGTGGACACATTCCTTTTACGAATCGTGTTCAGCTTTAAGCTTTGTTCAGACCTA